GCTGCGATTTCAGCAGCTTAGCAAGTCCCACCCCTGTGTGAGCTCAGCGGGGAGGCCAGGAGCGCTGCACATTCTCCCTGCTCAGCAGGGACAGGGGCCGCTGCTCGGCTGATTTGCTGCAGGAATACTGGAAAACTGCCACCAAACTAGAAAATCCTGTGAAGAAAAAAAAAAAACAAACACCAAACACAAGAAGACACCCCCTCCCCCCCTCCCAAACAAATTCAGTACAGAATTAAGCGAAGAAAAGTGGAAAAAAAATCCCAGCTCCCACAGTTTCAAGATGTTGAACTTTTGCTCCATGATGGTCTGGGGCTTTTTCCATGCTCAAAATAAGCAAGAAGTTTAGGCTAAGCCAGATCTCTACAACACTGTCTCTAACAGTGTAAGTGCAAACTCTGCACTAACTCTTGCTGTAAGTCAGCCATGGAAGCCAAAGACCGGCTGTAGGAGCGTTATCATTCATAGCTATTTTCACCTGGAAGAGAAAAAACCTAAATGGACAAGTAACTGAAACAAAGCCCTTACTTTAAAATCAAATAGCACTTCAAGTTTCCTAGGGACAACTGAGACTTAATAACTCACATGCCATACACATTTAAGCATATATTCAATGCTTCTAACTCCAGTACATCTTGTATAGATAAACCCCCCCTCTTACATACTGCACACAACACAAGGTTTCACTGGCAAGATGTCAGGGTTCCACACACAAGCAGCACCAGAGTAAGGACACAAACGTGCTTCTGTAACGCTGTAATACTGCCATGAGAACAATGAAGTTTGAAGTTTCAAACCTTGGAGCACTCATGATGTTTGTTTTACTGCTGCCAGAACAGACAGAAACATTTTTATCTCATCGCATCATTCAAAACAAGTTTGCAGCAGTCTGATCATCCAAAATGGGAGGAAGAATAGACCAGGTCAGGCTAATACATGACATAGCTGGGACATCACACATTTAGCTCGCTCCTGGATGCTTCCTGCCTGGAAGTTTGAATTCAAAATGTGTTGGTTTTTTTTTTGTTTTTTTTTTTACTTTAGGGAAGATTTGGGAAATTTAAATCAGCGGTTGTTGGTTTGTTGGTTGTTACCCCCCCGCCCCCGAGTGGGAGGGGAATAAAAGAGCATAAACTGCATGTTCTTAGATGCCAGTTCAACACCATCTCTTTTCTATGGGTTTTTCAGCTTTGACCTATTACTTCTCAAGATCTGGCTGTAACCAAGTCCTCTTTCTGAAAAGGGGCTTAAATGTACATGGGATTTCATTGACCCACCTTGGGGTGGGGACATTTCAGATAACATCAGCTAAGGAATATTACTTTCAGGTTGCTTGGGACGTAACAGGAAAAGCCAGGACATTCTCAAAGTGGTGCCAGTTATCCAAGAGGATGCGAGGCAGAGGACTGATTCCCTGTTACAACATACAGAGAGACTGTAAACAAAGACTAAGGGACCATGGAGCTCTCTTGCTGTATTTTATTAAACCAAGGAGCCAGTTTTCATACTCACAACACCCTAAGTTCAATGCAGTTGTCACGCAGCAGACACCACATTCAGCCCCAGCGATGGATGCGTTTCAGATGAGTTAGAAGTTGCTCACCACACCATGTGAAACAACTTGGGTGCTCCAGAACCTCAAATATAAAAGCTACTCAGAGTTTGGCATCTACCACGTGATTGCTGCCACTCAAGCGGATTTACGGGCAGATTTTAATCTCTTTCATATTATCCTGGTCATGGAATTTTTCCTTTGAGCTCACAGGAGTTGTGAGGCAGGGCAAGGGCTTCCCATCACAGGTGTTAGTTTACAAAGATGGCAGTTGTGTTCTAACGCTTAATGTATTCCAATTTCCCATAGTGCATACCTCAACTAACAGTTCCATCTTTAACAAATGCACTGGAATAGGCTGATAGCTCCAACTGCACCACACAGTATCACACAGACAGCAGCCAGTGCCAAATGGTTAGTTAAGCAGATAAGAAAGGCACTCATTCTTCCTTAAAGAAAAAAAAAGGAAGCTATTGCAGTCAAGCCGACAGAGTGTGGATAGAAGCTGGCAGATTCCACAATACAGAGTCACGTCAAAAATGGCCTCCTGCAAACTGTTCCTCCATCAAGCATTTGAGTCAACTCAAAGAGAGGAATTTACCCCATTATTCCCAGGAGTTTCACCTCCCTGCTCCACGGGCACAGCAGCATTTTGGACACGTTTTGACGCAGAACCGCATAAGAAAGGCAGAGGATCGATTTCACACCGCAGCAAAGGGGAAACTCTTCTCCCTGCTTTCTGTTCCCAGTCCCAAAGTTCAGCTGGGCCTTTATTTTGACTGTTCCCTGGCCTGTGAATGGAAAATCCCTCCTCAGCACTAGCAGGCTGGTGTCTGCCGCACACACCCACTGCACACAGCAGAAATTCCAGTCAATAAGGCAAGTGGGGCCCAGGCGATGGAAGGGGAGGAAGGAGACATACAAACAATAAGAAAAGCATCTGGCTCTGTTACTGGCTGGAAAGGAGACTGGAGTTCAAAAGAGACACGACGGCAGCCTTCACTTAACAGGAAGATCATATCAATTCTCGCTGTTCTACTTTTCACACAGACCAAAGTATCTGGAAAGGGTAACTCAGGGTTTCCAGCCCACACTTTAAAGCAATTCCATTAACTCCAGAACAGCAACGAACCCCACGAGGTAGGTTTTTATCCCACCAGACCAGAACATAGCCTTGCTTCTGCTTTAGACCTGTGGAAACAGCCCCAAAAGTGAAGGCCTTTGCTGAACGTGAGCCAGCCATCTCTCCATCGCCTCACTAATGGAGGCTGCTCTGCTGTCCTTCCCTGGAGATAGCAGCCAAGTCTAGTGAAGCTTCTCTCATAGCAACCAGAGCTCCAGAGCCAACGGCAGCTGCTGTCACTGCCTTCAGCGCTTACCCACAGGATCCAGAGCAAAGCAACACCCTCCTCCCTGCACCTTTAGAGCACAACCAAGAAAAACCCAGAAGGCTGGCGACAAGATGACTTCCTGGGTCAACCACAAGAAGAAGAAGAAAATCCTGGTATTTCCTATACAAGTGAAAAGGGAAATCTCTTATTTATAATGAAGAAATAGGAAAATCCTTTTCTGGGTTTAGGTTCTGGCAGGGTGGGGGGGGACAACCGTCTGAAATCCATGATCCAGCACACCATCAGACACCAATGTCAAGTTCTTCGAGCCCCTGTAGTTCTTCGAACCCTTCACACAAGGAGAAGCATTTACCCCTTGCCACAGCCATACCCCCAGCTCTCCTGTTCCATCACAGCCAGAGGCTGCAGCAGCCACCGCAGCCCCGCAGCACCCCGTGTCCTCCTCAGACCCGCAGACACACACCCCCCCCCGCAATAGAAAATCCCAAGCAGGGATCTTCGTTTATGACAGTGGAGGGGGAAAACAGAGCCGGGAAGCGGCTTGACACACCCCACACCCCCCCGCCCCGCTACACCCGCTTCCCCGGGGCCACACGCGGCCTCGCACCTCGCCTTCCTCCCTTCCCCGGAGACGGCAACAGCGGCCCGGCCCCGCTTCCCCGCCCGACCCGAAGGTGAACTCCGGTCACCAGCACCCAAGGACGAGCCGCCGGCCGACAGTGACCTTGCCGGGGCCGCTGGAGCGCAGCCGGCGGGGGTCGGAGCGGGGTCGGGGTGCGAGTGGGAGAGCCCATCCTGCAGCGGCCACGGCCACGCGTGACTGGAGAGGGAACGCAGGAGAAGCCGCGCTGCAGCCCCGGCGCCGGGTGGGCCGGGAGCGGGGGGTTACGGGGGAAGCCGCTGCACGGGCACCATGAGAAAGCAGAAAATGCAGGTCAAACACCGCCTCCCCCGAGGCCCGGCGGCTCGGGGCGGGCACCGGCGGCAGGCACCGGCGGCCCCTGGGAGGCTGCGCCCAGGCGGACAACGACACCCGCGGCCCCCCAGGACAATAAGGGGGAATAAGGGGAGCGGAGACACCGGCCTGCAGCGAGGCTCCCGCAGTGCTCCGACCCACCGACAAAGCCCCGCGGCCAAGCCCGGCCCCAGCCCCGCACCGGCACGGGCCCGGCCGCCGCGGGCGAGCGCGCACCACCGGGACGGCCATGATGGCCCGCGCCGCCGGGCCGGGCCTCCCACGCCGGGCCGGATAGAGCCAGACCGCCGGGGCCGCTGCCCCATAGCCACTGTGGGGCCATAACGCCCAGGCCCCCCCAAGGCAGGGCAGTGCGGAGCGCCCGGCTGCGGCCCACGCCGGGAGTCCCCCGCTGCCACCCGCCTGCCCGCCCCGGCATTCCCTCCCGAGCCGGCATTCCCTCCCGCCAGCCCCGCCGCCGGCCACGGCCAGCCCCATCCCGCCCGTTCAGTCCTACCTGTCCGGCCCGTTCCCCGGGCCCCCGCGCGGCACTAGGCCCGGCTCAGCGCCACGGCGTCTCCTGTGCAGCCGGCGGGAGCGAACCCTCGGCGGCGGCCGCGGCGCCAGCCCCTCCCCCTGCCAGCGGCGGCTTCTCCCCAGGCCGGGCGGAAACGGCACTGGGCGCACGGGGATCCCCGGCGCCGGCGCCAGGGGCGCCCCGAACACGCCCACTCCCACTCCCCGTTGGCTACCACGGCGCTACACCCCACCCCTCCGGGACACCCGCCGCTGCCAACGCCCCGCCCCCCAACACTTTCTACTGGTTGCTTAGACACCCTGCCCCGCCCGCTCTCTCATCTCATTGGTAGGCGCACGCCCGCCCCGCCGCTCGCCCCACGGTCGTGGCTTCCTATTGGTGAGTGGAGCCGCCGGTCAGCGAGGGGGCCGGCGGGGCGGCCGGGCGGGCTGCGCTCAGTGAGTGCCGGGCGCGCCGCGCTACGTGCCGAGGGGCGGGGCCTAGGGGCGCCGCGCGCCGCGGGGTAACTCCCGCGTCGGGACACGTGGCAGAAAGAAGGGGCGGGCCGGGCGGAGGAGGGAGGGAGGGAGGGAGCGCGGGGCGCATGCGCGGCAGAGCGGGCGCGGGGCCTGCAGCTCGGCACGTCCGCGCCGCGGGGGGGGTCCCGCTGCCGCGGTGGCCGCCGCCGCTGTCTTCCCCGGGCTTCATAGAACGGCTCCGGTTCCCTCTTCACCCCGCCCGGCTGCCGTCCTGAGGCGGGGCGGGACGGGACGCGACGCGCCGGGACCGCCGCCTTCCGGCCCTCCCCTCCGGGGTTGGCGGGGGAGTCCCGCCGCAGGAGGCTGAGGAGCCGCCGGAGCCTGAGGGGACGCCCGGCCCCGCCGCCATCTTGTGCGCAACCCCCGTCGGCGGAGGGCGGTCCCGGGCGCTGCGGTGGAGCTGCGGGCGGGTGGGAGGGAAGAGGCGGCTCCGGGCGAGGGCTTGGGGCCGGTCACGGGGCGCTCAGCCAGGCGTGCTGCAGGCACTGCGCGGCTGTGGCGCGGCGCTGCGGCGAGTAGTGCAGCGTGGCAAGGAGGAAGCTGGTGAACGGGGAAACCTCGTGTCTTGTCCAGCGGTGCCTGTCCGACAGGATGGTGTGGAGGCTGCGGGGGGAGAGCCTGGAGATCCGCAGGAGAGCGCCTAGAGGAGAGAGCAGAAGCACAGGACCTCAGTGATGGCTACAGGACTGAGAGGCTGCTGCTCCTCGCCTCATAGCAATCATCTTGGAGGATCCCTTCCTTCACCTTCGAAGCTCCAGGTTGGACGGGGCTTGGAGCAAGCTGCTCTAGTGGAAGGTGTCCCTGCCTGTGGCAGGGGTTGGAACTGGATGAGCTTTGAGGTCCCTTCCAGCACAAACCATTCTGTGATTCTGTATTTTCTCTCTCCGTTTCACCTGCACTGCCCCTTGCAGGTTTGGCTCTCTCGGGTGTTTCTCAATAAGCATCTTTTCAAACTAGTGTTTGGAGTGCCCCCCCCCCCCCCCCCCATTCCTGAGCACTTCTTAGATGAGAGCGTGCCAAGAATGAATGAGGTGTTCCCAGAAAAGCCACACCAGAGCCATTGCTGCTATTCCCTCTGCCGGTTCACATGCAACCCGCAGCACACTGGGCCATTTCAGTGCCAGAGCTCACAAGACACTGGTATTTAACGTATCTTGTTCCTCCTCGCTCCATGGGGACCAGGAGAGTGCCACTACTGACTGAGAAGTCATCCATCCACAGGAGCACCTGATGTGGAGATTCAGGTTAGACGTGTGTGGTCAGGCCAGTTTGGTTCACACAGAGAGTGGATACAGGGTAAGAACCAGTTTTGACTCATGTCTTTTGAGCACCATAGAAGGAATAAGCGTGAGCAAAGGATATGGATGTGCAGGGAGGTGCTTGTTGAGCATGCTGTGCATGGGAGAAGCATGCAGCATTGTGGGCAGGCGGAGGCTGTGTGGCTGCTGAGCGTGAGAAGCAGGGAAGGAGGAGGATGGACTAAATTGCCATGTCATGTGCCTTGAAGTCAAAGACAAGGACTTCAAGCCTAATGAGTCAAAGGGAAAGGAATTAGGGGGAGTAAAGCAAGAGATGTTACAGTTGGGTCAGAGGACTAAATACAGCAGCCACGTTGGAAGGATGAGTGTCCCACTCCTGATCATCATTGTTCTCTGCCAGTGAAGGGGTGAATTCCAGCCCGTTCCGCACTCTTCAGCCTTCCTGGCATGTAGCTGTTTCCTGTCCCTGTTTCCGTTCTCCCCAAATCCAGAGGAGAAAGAATAAAAATGTTTCTGCTTGTTGAGTGTTGTGAGTTTTCCAGGATTTTGCATTCATCCTTGGAATGCTCCTGGATTGCAGAGGTAGGCAGGGCAGGGAGTGCTACCATTGAAATCTGCTTGTAGCCTGCGTTGTGTCACATAACTCGGGGGTGGGGGGTGTCAGTGTGAGTAGGAGTGTGTCAGAGATCCACAGTGATTCTTAGAGTAAACTTCCTGCTCTCCAGCTCTTACCTGGCCTGCTGAAAAATTTTGTTGACTTGTTCCAGGAATAAGCAATTTGAGGAGGAATTCTTCCCAGGAGCTCGATAATACAAGCAACGTGATCTAAACAGAGGGAAAACAGATCTAGAGACAAAGATTGTGACACTTCAGACAGTGAAATGAGTAAAACTGACGGGATCCTACCATCATCTCTGGAGAAATACTTCCCAGGTTGAGGGTCAAATAGATGCTCCCCAGTTGCCATTTCAAATGCCTAGAAATGGATTAGCATTGTTAGTGCATTAATTGACTTTGAGTTTTGCTTCCCCGCTAACTGATGGTGCCAATTCCCCTGTCTAGCACACAAAACTGATCCTGAACCATGGAGATATTCACACTGGTTTGACCCGTGCCATGGTGGAACAGCAGTTTTAGCTCCATGCAGATGAAAAGCAGGATGTGATGAGTTAATGTACATGGAGTGTGTATTGCCTTGGAGCTTAAACTAAGCGTGTATTTTATCAGTGGGATACTTTCACTCCTGAGTGAATAGGTGCAGACAGCCCCTTTTGCCTTCTCAGAGCAGAAGTTTTGCTTTACATGCAGTGTACATAGGGTGCTGAGGATGTATATCCCTGACACATTAGTGTCAGTCCATTAGCATCGTCATTCCTAACCCTACCAGGCAGCCCGTGCTCCAGATATCCGCAGGAGTGCCGTAGTCTAATCCAAGAAGCACTTCCAGGGCACGGTATGGCTGGGTCTGTATCTCCTTGCAAAAGGGCTTGTACTGAAATGGAAACAAACTCCCCTTAGTGTCCATAAATCAGTAACAGCAACGCATGTGGCCACAAGCATCGTGCACGGCAAGGAAAGAGCTGGGGGGCAAAACCAAATATGTGTGCTAAACTCTGTGCAGGGCACAGCAGGAATGTTCTCAGGTGAATTTAGCTCCCAACTCTTCACACTGAGTATGTTTTTCAGTTTCCAATTGTAGGGACTACCTGCAGGCTTAGAAACACCAAAGCTGAGGGTGTCTCCAGGAGTACAGTGCCCAGCTGAGAGCTGGGAGTGCTGAATATAACCACCCCCAAAATCAGCACTTCTTCAGCACACTGAAAGAGTTATTAAGCTTTAAAAGGACAGACACAGGGTGGGATGGAAAGGAGCACACAGCATCCCTCATCATCATGGGACTGACACCCAAGAGCACACTCACCGTCCAGCACGCGCTGCCCAGATCTGCAATTTTTACTTCTATGCTCATCAAATCAGATTCTTCCAATCGATTGCCAAGAGCATTCCCTAGATGGAAAGGACAAAGGCAAATGGAATCTTCAACCAACAGGTAAGCATCACTTACCACCAGAGAGGCATCTCCACCTGTATTTATCATTCTTTAGCTCAAAAGGTCCTAAAATGCTTTTTGACATTAATTAAATGATTTCTCTGTGTTCTGAGGAACCATGAGCTTGTATCCAGTCAGAATCTCAGAGAGTGTTTGGGAGGACAGTAGTTTGGAGTGGAGCAGCATGACCATGTCCTGCTGCAAGGTTCCTCTAGCACCAAGGTTCGATTCCTGTGAGCCAAGAGCAGAGCACATCTGTAATTCCTCCTTAGCCTTTGGGAATCCCTGCTGTCACAGGCCTTGGACACAGCCTGTAAGGTGATACTTACATATGACCCCAGAAAAGGGTAATTTTTGGTTTACTGCTTTACAGTGAGCTGTCAGTCTGTGCCTATTCCTGTGCTCTTCTGCTCCAAGCAAAAGACTCAGTCACCAATTTAACGTTCCCCAATTGCCCCAGAGTTTGAGAGCCAAAACAGTGCTGTCAGGGGAGAAATGCTCACAGGAAAACCTTGTATGAGGATAAAATAGAGGGTCTCATTGCTGGGAGATCAGCTGATCTCTCAAGAAGCTCCCCAGCCCTATGTTTTATTCAGTATTCACACCATTCTCTGCAAATAAATTATGTCTCAAAAGGTGAAAATCACTGGTACATACAAGTCTCCCACAAAGCTCAGAAATACGGGAAACAAAGAGCAGAAGTGTTGTAAAGCTTTCTGATTAGCCCACTTGCATGTAACCCTTTCAGGGGCTAAAAACACCAGACAAAAGGGAACTATCCTGTACCTTAAGCCATAAGAACCAGCTCCAAGATCACGATGGGGCTGTTAATGGATGCCCTTGATCTATAGCTGTCCTCCACACAAACCTACCTGAACCACCACTTTTCTGTAGGTGCCTTGAGCAGCTTGTAGCCTGATGCTTGTATTGAGCAGCGATAGGAGAGGCCTCCCAGCAGCATAATCTGGCTGTACTGTTTTGTGCTGCCCATTGCAGGAGATGGGAACCTTCCCTAAAATGTCTGTACTCTCCCTCCTGACAATGAACATGTAAATCCCTTTTCTTGTTAAATAAAACCCTGGACCACTCACCTGGTCCCTTTAGCCTTGAATCTGTTCCCTGATCACAGTCATGTGTCTCAGGCAGAATCCTTTGGAGGCTTCTGTCACGCCCGTACAACAAGATGTTCTCCGGTTTGATGTCCGTGTGGATGATGCGGCAGTTCTCATGCAGGAAGCGCAACCCTGCCAGCACCTGGATAAGCAGCAGTGACTCCCATCAGCACTGACAGGGTCCCCACCACCTCTCCTGCCCAGGAGCAATCAGGCACAGTGGGCATGCAAGTCATAGACCTTCTGGTATTGAAGGAAGTGGGCACTGATGAGATCTGCAGTCAGTTGTTTCTGCATAGTGAGTGCCCTGAACTAAGGGGAAGGGGCTGCCTGGGGACATGGGGGTGACCCACAGCGTGAAAATCCACAGGTATCAGGACAGATGGGAGACAGAAAGAGGACAGACATATGAGGAGTTGTTACAATCAGAGAGCTAAACTTTCCCCTGTTTGTATGGCTGTTATTTCCATGGAATACTGTGCCTTCCTGCTGATTATCATTCAAATGGAAGAAGGTGGGGGCCCGTTATAGAGTGACACAGCACCACAGGGCATCCCATCATACAACGAAAGAAAAGGAGGTATAGCATAACCCAGGCAAGGGGAGGGAGACAACATGAGTGTGTGTAGAGAGAGTTTAAAGGCAGTGCAGGAGAGCCATGTAGGGAAAGAACAGCTTATGATGGAGCAGGGAGAGCCTGGCCTGTCACAGGGGAGAGATAAACAATGCCTACCAGGGAGAAACAGTCGCTACCAGAAATCAGTGACAGAAAAAGACTACTGGGAGAGCCACATTTGTGTTTTAAACACTCTCAGTCAGTCATAAAGGGCTGGCAAATATTCTTTGTATTATCAAATTCTATTCTGGGCTGAACATCAGCCCCAGGAAAATACCAACCTTAAATGGTAACCGTGAAGTGCGGGGAAAGATTTAGACAGCTAAACTGAAATGAATCAGAAGTAGATACTGCCCCAGTGCTCATCTGGAGGGGGAAGAGATTCTGAGAGTTTACAATTGAAGCAGATAATGGAACGGGATCAAACAAAAGGCTTGGGTGTGACTTAGGGCACAGATATTAGTGCCACTACATTTTTGTGTAACATTCAGGTGTTAGTGGAGCTTCTTTAGAGGAAGAAGCAGCTATTCCGAGAAGAGGCTCTTCCAGAAAGCAGGTTGAAGGAGGAGGCAGTTTTCTTTCTTAGTGTCCCTAGAAGGGCACAGGAATCAGGGTAGCAAATCTTCATCTTGGCAAGCGTGCAAGATTCTGATAAATCTCAGCAGGAGAGGCAAAATTTGATTTTAACTATTCTGGGTCCTCACCAGGTTTCCTATTCCTTTGTTATTCCCAGCCAACACATAAGAAACTTGGCTTTCACAGTCTGATCAGCCCCTGTATTAATGGTAATATGATGACTTCCCACTCTGTGTTTTAATGACCATTTTCTCTCCCAAAGGGAATAGTTACTGTTTTCCTTAAAAAGAAAAGCATGTCTTGGGCACTCCCTCTGTAGCATCTTTGCAGATGCAGTCATGGAGTTCCCAGCAGATGACCCTAGGATGAAGGCTGTGGCATGTCCCCACAGCAACAGCCCCTTGGTACCCACCCACTTCCAGCTAACGTCTCACCTGCTGTAAGGACCTTTTCACAAAAGGCAGAGGCAGCCCCTGTGCTGTGTAGTTACCCATCAGACACCGTAGGGAAGGACCCAGCGCCTCAAATACCAAGCACATATGTGGGCAACAGTCAGGGAGTCACTAACAGAGAGAAGATGCTACCACCAGCCTTTTGCCCTTCACCAGAACAGCCAAATACCTCCTTAACCAACCTCTCCCCTCCAGCCACCTCCATGTGCTGTGCTCCAGCTACTGCCTGGCTCATCTGCCTCACAGGAGCACAGTGCTTGGTTTTACACCATCCTGAGGCTCTCTGAGGCAAGCCCAGGCTTTGCTGCCCCACAGCACTCCCAGCAGAAGGATATGGAAGCCATTCTCTCCAATCATTCTGAAGTCATCTAACAAACAGACGATGTTTTCTCCTGTCCTGTCCTTCTTCTTCATACTGTTCACCTGAGGTGGAGGAGTCCAAGAAAGCTGCAATTAGAGACTTTACATATGCACAAGCACATCTTGCACCCATTTTATCCTCTTCTACAGACTTTCTCTTCCAGGACTTGGCACTTCATGACAAATTCAATTAAAAAAGCATCAGGAAAACCACACAAGCAGTCTTTGTGTTGTCTAGCTCTTGACCAGGTGAGACCATCACCCCCCCCCCCCCCCTCCAGTATCCAAACAACTCAAATCAATCCTGCTAATGTAACACCCTTCCAGCTTCTTATTCTATCTCATACAGGCCCAGAAAGTGCTTCTACTTGTGCTGGGTGGGGTTTCCCCCAAGACCACATCTCACAGCACACTAACTGTCCATTTCTTTTGCCCTTCTACAGCCTCTGCTCCCTGTCCTCAGAGCAGGGATTGCTCTGTCCCTCCCTGTCTGAGAGCAGCAGGCTGGGACATCTCCTTTTAAAACCCAAACCTTCCCTTCAGCAATTTCTTGCAAGGGGTTGCAGAAAGGCAGAGATCTTGTCTTTGCCTTTGGCCACTCAAAGGCTACCTGCAAGCAGCTATGGAAGCCCAAGAGACCAGCTTCCTTCTCCTGGCAGCTCTGCCAGCACCAACCACCCTGTGGTGGTGGGAGTGTAAATGGCAGCATGTCTTTCAGAGAGAATCAGTAATAAATCAAGGGTAAGGCTCAGTCCATGTGCTGTGCTAATGTGTAGAAAAGCAGTTACCTGATTACATTAGATTAGTGCCACTTGGTACTTCCTCTTGCATCACTAAGCCTGGCTCATCTCCCTTTGGATAGGGCTTACAGATTTATAGATGTGAATTAAACCTTTCTCAAACCTGTCGGAGAAAGGCCTCAAGAGTAATTTGTAATGCAAAATGTAATGGCTTTTACTCATCTGAAGCTGATGTCACTTTGTATTGAGGCAAACTCGAAGAATCATAATCATGAGCTTTCTACAACTAGCAGGTTAAGCCATCTTCAAAGGCAAGTAGGTGAGACCCAGATCCAGGCACCTCACTACCCCATCCATTAGCAAAGGCAGGAGGAAGCTTTCTGACTTCAGATGCTTATTATATTGTTGCTACATCCTGTAATTTTTCCCCCCTTTTTTTTTTTCAGGTATTTCCTCTTACTTCAGTACCAGTGCTGTGATCGAGCAACATCCTCTGGGCTGGGAACAACACAAATACAGCAGACACCCTCCCATCTCCTGCTTAAGAACATTACTACATTTTCCCATTGATTAACTGCCTTATCTTCCTACAGGTTCCTTGTATTTACTGGATTTCAGTCTCAGCTGAAAGAAATGGGCTGACAGAGCAAGATGGGACTCAGCCAGCACATCCCAGTAGGACAGGAGGAAGGAGATGTCTGTTTCAGAGGCCAATGCTGAGTCAGGCTGATTCCTATGAATTCCCTACTATTTGTTTTCCTGTTCACCACGTAGCTCCTCAGACTGAGACCCAGAGGGAGAAGGGATGATGAGGCTGTTACACCAGAACTCAGTGGCCATCCCGACAGAGCACAGAGCCCCAGGGTATACGTACGCAGCGGAGGAGGGCAACCTCATCCTGGGCAGCCTCAGCAAAGCCTTCCCTGTTCCTCAGGACCTTCACAGCTACCTGTTTCTTCCTCCTGGAAAAGGAATCACAGCTGCTAGCCAATGCATGCCAGTGTCCCTACCCAGCAGCAACTCTTTTCCCAGTCACACAGCCCAGGGCTCCCCAAGGGCTGGTCTGTAGAACTCCATGCCCATGCTAGTGATGCTGCCAGCATCTAGCAGAGAACATAGCAGAGCATGGGTACTGAAGGATCTAACTGAGAACAATAAATGTAGCACCACCTTGTTTATGTTCTTTGGTTTCTGGGGACCAGCTCTGCCCATTGCACCCATCCATCTCACTGCCAGGTTTGTCCTGTGCCCGAGGAACCTGATATGCTCTCAGACAGGCTGCTGTGCTCCACTGGCCCAGGGGCCCAGCCACCCCTTCCCACCTCCCCCAGAGACAGTGAGCTCCTCACCTCATGTCCTCGCACAGCCAGACGGTGGCAAAGGTGCCAGAACCCAGCTTGCGCAGAGCCTGGTACTGTGTGTTGAACACCTCTCCTTCCCGCACGGGGTGGTGGCCTCCTGTGGGACCATCACCAAGAGATGTTACCAACACCTCTAAATGCTCTTAGGCTGAAAGAGGGGCTGAGGACAGCCATCCTCCTGAGGAACAGCCAGACAAGCCCTGGTGGCCTCCTCTGGCCTGGGAAGAGCCTGGCATGGTCTTGGCTGTGGAGCCACATGCCTGAGGACTGACCTGTGCGCTGGGCTGTTGGTGTTTCCTCTTCCATCTGCTCTTCCATGGCCCAGCAGTGCAGCAGGTCCTGGCACGAGGGGACCGGGGCAGTGGGGCACCAGGTCTTAGGGTACAGGCAGTGCAATCATCAGCACCTCACTCCTTTAAAAAGAGTTGGGGAGCTGGGGGGCAGCTATGCCTCTGGTGCCTGCAGAGTGATTCTCTCTTCCACCCCTCATCTCATTCCTTCCCATCTGCTTCCTCAGCCCCAGCAGCCAGGCTGCTGCAGACCCTTTTGGCACCTCATGGAGGCAGGGATTATTTTAAGAGCTCAGAAGGGGAGAGCTGGCAGGCTGGGGCAGGGCAGGGAGCTGGTGATGTGCAGTTAGAGCAGAGCCAAGGCCAGGTGGGAGTCTCAGGTTTCCCTGTGCCCAGAGTGGATTTGCAGGGGCTTAGCGGGGACTGTGAGATCCCCTCCCGCAGCCAGGCAAAGCACGTGCTCCCATCCCCATCCCAGCAGCACCGGGCACCTCAAATAGTAGGCTGAAGCTTGTGCAGCTCACGGAGTTACGGATGTAAGACACCAACCCACTCTCTCACAATTGGGAGTTATCACTTGCTAATACAGCCAAAGCCTCAGGGAACACACACTGCCAGAGCTGGGTGATTGTCCTGTGGTTCTGGGCTTAAACCACGACAGTGATTGTCAACCCCATAGACCATTAGCACGGGTAGGAGTAGTGACCTTTAAATCCTTCAAATCAGGTCACTAAAGCTCAGAGCTGCACCAGGGGATTTGCACAAGTACAGTGGGCTCCTGCTGGTGGTGGCAGGAGGCTCCTGGTGGGAGCTGTGCTGGGACAATAACGCCTTCCAGGCACTGAGACAGAGGCGTGACTTTCTCAAAACACTAAAGTTTCATTCCCATGCTGATGCTCCCCCTCCTTATATTCTCACACATCCAACCATGGAATTTGCACTGTTCAGGATCAGTCTTTTTCAGGCATAAACTTCCAGGATGCTGCATGTCTGTGTGACTGCTCTTTTCAGCAAAGACCTACTAACACCTTAGCTATGAAACAGAGGTGGAATCAGAATTTCCCTTATTTATGCACAGATTGAGCACACTGGTAACCTCACTAGCTCCTGCACCACCAGAATCTACCCAAGCCTTCTCCACTTGCACCATTAGCACAGCAGGGACTGACCTGAGAGCTAGGCAACAGCCTTCAAGATTTTATGTTGCTCACTATTCACCTCCCAAAGGAAAACTCCAGAGCGTGTGGAGATGGGAGTCCAACAGCATCTTCCTTAGGTGGTTGTTATGGTAATGGGAGACTTTGGTGGGGAAGTCGGACCCAAAGATAAACCGCGTCCAAGCACTGGGGCTGATGGAGCTTTTGGAGCTGCTCACCAGGCCCTGGTGTCCTTGCTGTGGAGATGAGGCAAGTCCATCCTCAGGCGTGCGTGGCTTTGCCTCCATCCACCCCAGTCAGTTGGATGCACCAGCAAAGGATGGGGAGCGTTGCTATGCAACTTGGTGTAGCAGAGTGAAATGTACTTCTTTAAGCTTTGTGATAAAGGACAATCCATGCTTTAAAGTCCTTCATTGCTTGATGTCCTTGCATTAAGAACAACCATTGTTCTGCTTTTTGCTTCTTCAAAGCTACACTGTGCAGAAACTACCGGTTTGCAACAGGCCTGGACCCGATCAGAGAACTTCAGCCCCCAAACCTCCTGGCCCTGCCTGGTCTGCAAGCGGCAACTGCCCAACTCCACCTCATGGGCACAGAATGGTGCCGGGAGCTGCAGTCACAGAACTCCCCTTCATCTTCTGCACGAACACACCCCGAGCGTGCCCTCCCATCCCTAAACATCCAGGTAACACACAGCCTAAAGCAGCGCCCTGGGCTCCGAGCCGCGGGGCCCTGCACACACTCACCACAGCGCAGCTCACGGGCAGGACGCGCCGCTCCCTTCCTCATCGGGCTCATTCTGGACCTCCCCAAAGCGAGATTCCACCTGGTCCCACTCTGCTTTTAGCCCGCGCTGTGTCCTTGGGCAGACCCGAGCCTTGCGCATCGCTGGACAGACGCGGTGCGGAGCGGGGCAGGGTATCGGATCACAGCACCGCTTCTGGGAACAACCCCGGCGGGCCAGGACAGCTGCTGGGGGCTCACTTTACTGCCGGCCTCTCCCTGGCAGCACGGCCGGGAGCCGGCTGCAGCTCCCTGGTCTCCACAGCAACTATTTATAGAGGGAAATCCACACAGAGGAATCCTCCCCTCTGCTCCACCGGGCCCTGTGCTGCTGCTTCCCAGTGCTCCCAGCGCCGGGTGCAGCCTGGCTGCTGTGGCCCCTGTCCCCCCCCTATCCCTGACCGAGGGGATGTGCTCCCTCAGCCTCCCCACAGCCACAGCCTGGTGCTGGTGACTGGAGCTTCTCCCTTCCTGTTGTGTGGGGATCATCACAGCAGCAGCTCCCAACCCACCATGGCAGGACTGGAGCCCCGCTGTGCCCCGCACTGAGGAGAAAATGGCCACAAACAGTAAAAATCACGCTTATTTTCACCCAATATGGCACAGTTTTGAACCCAGGGCAGGCCCCAGCCTTGTGCACCTCAGGTTTCCCTCCTGAAGCAGCAGGGACACAACAGCAAAGGGCAGAGCAGCACCCACCCCACTGCGGTGGGACTGGAGCCCCTCAGCACCTCACACTGAGGGGAAAGTGGCCACAAACAGGCAAAAATCACACTTTTTCACCCAATATAGCACAGTTTCGTACCCAGAGCAGGCTGTGGGCCCCAGCCTTGCGCAGCTCAGGTTTCCCACCTGAGGCGGCAGGGACCCAACAGCAAAGGGCACAACAGCAGCACCCACCCCACTGCGGTGGGACTGGAGCCCCTCAGCACCTCACACTGAGGAGAAAATGCCCATAAACAGTTAAAAATCACACTTTTTCACCCAATATGGCACAGTTTTTACCCAGAGCAGGCCGTGGGCCCCAGCCTTGTGCAGCTCAGGTTTCCCGCCTCAGGTGGCAAAGGGTCCAACACCTCAGCAGGCACAGCCAGGTCAGGGCCACCACAGGCACCTCTCCTCTCCTCTCCTCTCCTCTCCTCTCCTCTCCTCTCCTCTGCCCGTGCCCCACTCTGCTGCCTCCCAGCACCAGGGATGCCAGGGTAGGGGCAGCACCCAGGGGACGAGCGGCTCAAGTGGTTCATAACCTCTAAAAGGCCAAGGAGAACAGCACACGTCGGGGGGGAGCACAGCCCAAAGCAGCACCCGAGCAGGGAGAAGACCGGGGAGAAGCAACTGCAGCCAGAGCTGTGCTAGTAAAGGAATGGGGAGCAGATGGAAAGGCAGGAGAGATGGGCCACGAGCCAGCACCATGGCTGGAAGAGCTCTGAAGATGAAGTTGTGCTGTTGATGGAGGCTGGTGGACAACAATGATCACCATCAAGCGTGCCTTAAGCAGCCCCCTCTGTGCTTGCCAAGGCTGTAGTGAACCACATGCCACTGCCAGCAATTGCAGGGCTCATCCACAACCACAGCATCCCTCCTCCTGCAGCAGGCAGGAGTGGTGGTTGAGCCCTGGAACCGGAGGAAGCACCAGGATCAATGGAAGGTGGCACAAGGTGATGGCAAAGAACTGCAGCTGCTATCCCAAAGGCAGTAGATGGGGCAGGAGGGAAGAGCCCCACACTCCTGGCACAGCTCTCCAGCTCAGGGGAACACAGTTTCCACGCAGGAGGAAGAAAGGAGGGGACTGGATGCTGGGCAATGGTGTCACGGTGTGAGACAAGCGCGACAGGTAGGTTGTATATTAAAATTTATTGAATTATTGTGTAAGAATTCTCTTTATTAAAATCATTTGGACTCTAAACTGATTATTTACAGACAAAAACCTCTTATATCACCAATAGATTCCTACATCTCCGAACAGTATCTACAAACAGTTATTACACTATGTAACAAAATCCAGATTTTTTTTTTGTGTTTTTTTTTCCAAGCTTTTTATATTAATTATTAATTCCAATTTGAGACAGACAGTACCTCGGGTGCTCTGAGCAGAACTCAAGGTGTAAATGCAGGTCAGGCCATACCGTAACAGACAGACACACACCAAGTCACGAGGCTGGGACAGGGCAGAGGCACCAGGACAGAGGAGAAAGATGGTCTGAGCAAACACATGGGGTGTTCTAGGAACCACAAGAATCATCCTGGCAAAGAAAGGCACCAAAACCAAGCAGCATCTCGCTGCAACAGGGGCACCCTTGGAAAAGAAACAACATTCCACTGCGGCAGCAGCATCCGAGAGCCTCTATTAAAACAACAGCCACCATTTCTACTAAAAAAATCCCAAAACTTCCAGGTACAGCCTAAATTCACCACCAGACAGCTGAAAGCAACACTCACACATCTACAACACGTGGGTGCCGCCTACTCTTAGTTGTACCAACAGGAGAGACATTCAAGCACACTAACTGGGTATTCTAATACTGATCAGTTCTCAGCGTTTCATCCAGACCATGGTGGAAGCAAGGTTCTTTCTCTGACCACAGTGTAAATAACTCCTATATCCTGCTAAATGACTCCTGCCACTCAAGAACATCATCTTTGAGGGCTCAATGACAGCAGCACCGTCCCCATGCTGCACTTGTGTCTTGCAGAAGAGGAATGGTCTCTGTAGCAGGACGTGCTGGTGCCCACACAACTTGCTACCTGTACAGCAAACATGAACATCCAGAGAGGATCCTCCGTCTTTGAGGAGGAACATCCCATCTCCAGAGTGTCTGACAAGCTGGTTGTGGAATCAGGCAGAGATTGGAAGAAACTTGGAAGGATTGTGAGGAATAAATAAATAATTTTCCCTGCAACAGGAAATTTAGTAAAAACCCCTGGTTTGTGCAAATTTAAATACATCAGAACCCTGTTGTAGTAACGGATTTTGCCACAAGAGAGGGGCAGGGATGGAGAGAAAGAGGAGCCATGGCCAAACACCCAGAATGATCCCAGCTGGTGTCTAGAATACCAAGGACAGAAGGATAGAAGAGATGGGCACAACCAGCTTCCCACCCTCACCACACCGGTAATGGGCAGTGCCTCCTGCCCAGCTACACAAGGACAAGCTGATGTTAAATAAGTCAATCACCTACATTTACCTCTACTTCAAAGTCTTGATTATTGCTGTAATAAAAGCAGACTTTCACAGATACACTCAGAGAAAGCAGATGATTTCCATACCTGGGAGTGCTACCAGGAAGCAAAGAGGATGTGGAGCCCATGGGCACCTGGACTCCAGTCACTGTTGATTCCAGGTGAGCCACCAAGTCGTCCCCCCTTCTCCAGTGTGGGGTGGATTCAGAATTAAGCCCCAGACACCCTGTTCTGGGATAATTCTGCAAACATAAGGGGCACTAACAGTCTGTAGAGCCATAAACCCAGCAGGGAGCCTGTGGCTCCTAGCAGATGCTCAGTCTGGTGCCTAGGGCAGAAAGTCCATCATCAATGCAGGAGGGGACAAAGCCACTCTGCTGCATTACCTGCACCTGCCTCAAACCAAGGAGCTGCCTCCCACCCAGCTTTCTGGGGCTGATTTAATCAGGTTTGGTTGAGACAGGTTTCAGAGATGCTAAGTTCCTACGATTTTTGTGGAAACAGGTGGTCAGGCAGGAGGAAACCCAAAGTGGTGCCCACACTGGGAAAGAGGCAAACTTAGCTCCTTTCTCCTGCCTCACCTGAAGCACGAGGTGGCACAGGGATGCTGGCCAAACTCTGGGCACATACAGTACCCGGGAATACTGCTGGAAGAGGGTCACAGGAGAGAGCTTTGTACGAAGAGTGGCCAGTGTTAGCTTGTCACATCGCTCAGAGAACATCTTTGTAACAGCAGCACTCACACAAAGCAACAGGGCTGATCTGATAGGCCTGGAATTGCTGCTATATGCAATGAAAGAGGTAGGGATGTGATCCTGCCTTGGTTTTAGCTCTAATCCCTCCTGGCTGGCAGTCACCACCTCAGGGAGGTGACAGAGGGCTCAGACCTGCCCCAAGCATGCAGGACATCAGCATGGAATTAGCAGAAGGGGTGAGAGTGCACAAGACACCCTTATAAATAGGAGTCTGCTCCCAGAGGGGCAGAGCACTCTGTTCCCAAAGTGCAGGATCCAAGGAGGGAGCCGCGAGGAGCTGCCCAGTGACAGCTGCCTACTCACTGTGCTTGTGCCTGCTCCAGCCTCTCCTTCCTCTCCTGAACCATTCCCATTTGCAGGATGCCCAATGATCCTTGGGACCACTCTTGTGCTTCAGAATTTCCTCGAGTTCACAGCTCACCAAATAACCCTTCTACATGCAGCAACAGGAGAGTCTGGGAAGTGAAACTGTGAGTAAGGTGTGAGGCAAAGCCCAAGAGAAAAAGCCTTGAACTGAGCTGCTGGGAAAAGCGAGCTGCTGTTACGACAACGGAGACATCTACGAGTTATCCCTGCAGACAAAGCAGTGGAGAAAACTGCTCCAGTGCTGACAGACGTTGGTCAGTAGAAGTGCACAGAGATACTTCTCCGAGAAAAGCTTTGTCTCAAAGCCACAAAATTAAACATTCTCCTTTAGCATTTAAATACATTAACTTTCTGAGGGTATTTACAAGTCCAGTTCAGAGCAGCAGAACAGCCGGACACCGGAGGGAGGGGGAGTGGCACAAGGCATTTGTTGTGCTTTTCCGAAGAGCAGGGCAACCTCTGACCACAAGGAACCAGGAAGATGGATCCCGAGCTGGGTCAGTGGGGATTGAGGCGAGCCAGGCAGACTCTCCCACGGAATTTGTCCTGAGGGAAAGGGTGAGGGGATGCTGTCCATTTACAGAAGGCCCCTGGGCAAGCGTGTGTGCTGGTGAACACATCAGAGACCAGAACACTGGGGAGTAAGAGAACTGTGCCATCGGACACTCTTCTTTCTACATCCAACATCCAGAACCAGTGGGGACATTGCTGCAAGGATTTCTCAGGTGGGATACTGCAGGAATGCTCAGGAGCCAGGGACAGAGGTTAGCACTGCTGTCAGCCTGCTCTCTGCATCCTTGCTGAAGTGAGGGGCTGCAGCAAGGGAGTCTCCCAGCACTGATCCCTGCAAGATCAAGGACTTCATAGACGGTGCTGGGTGTTGTCTCCTGGCTCTTCAACAAAGTTGTTTGGACACTTGGCACATTCATGTAACATCTGTAGAAAGGAGCTGTGTGGTCCCCCCTGACAGTGCCAGGGGAAAACCAAAGTCTGGTTTTGTTTTGAAGAAGAAAAAACTGTAAAAAAATACTCTCTGAGATGGAAGGACGCTTGTACTTTGTACTGCCTTGGCCATCCCTGTTCATGTCACCACGGGTTCCTTGGAGAGCCTGGTTCCAATGGCAGCAGGACACCATGTGTGTAGCTAGGACGAGCACTGTCCCCGCTCAGGCAGGGCAGAGCAGTCTGTCTGTGCCTGTCACAAGTCTGTGACTTTATTCTCCACAGCTGCTGCAATCTGTTGTAGTCTATATCCAAGCTGCATCTTCTGTGCTGTTGGGTCTTCTTCCAAGGCCGTAATGATCTGCAACAAGACAGAGCTCACTGCAGCTTTCCTCCAGTGCACAACGCTGTCAACCAGCTCAATGCCAAACGCAGTGGAGAGCCCCAAGCTGGAAACCAGAGTGCTCAAGACTAGAGTGAGTATGTAGTAATTCATCTCAAATTAATCACATTCTAGATTTGTCCAAATAACATGAACTTTATAGTTCAAAGAACGCTAAACTTCTCCCCTGAAAACGGTATCTTTAGTAAATGAATCTGCACTAACTGCATTTCATTTTTAAGTAGAGTATTTGAATCCTATAGTGAAAAAAATAGAAGCATACATGAAATCCCAACAGCATCCAAGTTAGACTTTTGTGAGTTCCTCCCTCTTTTTGAGAGTAAAGCAAACTCATAACATGGAAGTTGCAGGTCAATGACAATACACAGCGTTGTCATAGTCTGGCTGCTCTTAACTATTAATTTTTGGAGGTTTTCTGTTTGGATGGTAAAAGGAGAAGGGCATGTTCATACCTGCTGGAAACACACACTCACCTGGTCATAGTACTTATTGATGTATTTGTACAGTTCATGTAGAGCCACCAGGGAATTGAGGCCACCTGAGTAATTCTGAATATAAGAGAGGAAGTTAGACACAACCATGAGACACTTCACAATTGTTCTTCTAAGCTCTACGTCCTCACAACTCATTAGGAAACATGCCTGTTGCACAAAGCAACAGGAAAGGGAATTCATCAGCGAGTTCCTAGCAAGAGAAGGATCACACGTACTCCTTGTCCTGAGTCCTTGACTACACTTTCAGTGTCAGTTGGAGAGAGACCCTCACCCTCCTCACGGTGCTACAGAGCAGAGCAGCCACTGGCATCACTCAGTATGTCTGAGCAGAATTGCACACTCAGCTGGAATATTTCATCTTTGCATTACTGACTTTCTTAGATGCACAGGTGAGAGGCCAGGGGACTTCTGAAACACAAGAAACCTGGAGAGGGACTTTTTACAAGGGCCTGTAGGGACAGGACAAGAGGGAATGGCTTTAACCTGGCAGAAGGGAGATTGAGATGAGCTCTTAGGCAGAAGTCCTTCCCTGTGAGGGTGCTGAGGTGCTGGCACAGGGTCCCCAGAGAAGCTGTGGCTGCCCCATCCCTGGCAGTGCTCAAGGCCAGGCTGGACAGGGCTTGGAGCAAGCTGCTCTAGTGGAAGGTGTCCTTGCCCATGGCAGGGGTTGGAGCTGGAGGAGCTTTAAGGTCCCTTCCCACTCAAACCCTTCCATGATTCTATGAAATAACTATTTACCCGTGACAGCTCAGCCAGGGCAGAGTTCATCTCCTGGTCACTGGCAGAGATGGTCTGACGAATGTCCGCGTAATACCTACGCAGTGATACACAGACAATTAGCAATAGTTTCTCCTGCCTCCCTCTTCCTACTTAAACTACAACTCCTCAAGTTCATTGCTTACCTTTCCACCATCTGCTTGTAGCGAGGGATGTCCCGGGCATACAGCAGCTTATTGATTGGAGAATCCTTGAACATCCAGAACCAGAATTGATTACAACAAGCTCCTTCATCATGCTATGGACTAACCTTAGCAGGTAACACCATCAACTGCTATTTTCTGTCCTGCATTCAGGGTTGGGAATTTTTGTCCTCTACATGGAGAGGCACCTCAAATACCAGCTTCCTTTTAGTAGTGAAGTCTGAGGAATCGCGAGATGCACTGGTGAAGGGACCCTGGGACCCTTAGTCCAGCCTTCCACTTAAGAGCTGGGTGATCACCAGTGTGAGATCACATTAACTACTGTGGCGTTGCAAAGCTGATAACTGAATTCCTCCAGAGATCCACCCATCCCATCTTCTGTGAGCTGTGCAGGACTGTTCCACCCTTAGCACAGGGTCAATAGAGGTGGTAAGAATTTTTAGAGGTGGTAAGAATTTTTTCTAATGGCCAACCTGAATTTCCCAGGAAGCATCCTGTCACTTCCACTGTCTGACACAGCCAACTAGAGTTTAGCTCTGCCCCCAAGCACCTGTAAGCTGTAAATAAAGAGCACCCCTCAACAATTTCTTGTGTGCTAAACAAAAGCAGTTCCTCCCTCCTCTCTTCCCTCCCATAAGTCTCCAGTGGCACATGGGAGCAAGGACAGGCCTGGCCTGCTGTTCCAGTGGTGCTACTTAAATGTTACTGCCTTCCTGGGGCAGCACTGCTCAACTCTGTGGGCCAACCATGCTCCCTTCTCCCTTTGTACTTACCCGCCCTAACTTATGGTCAGCTATTGTACAGGAGTCCATAAAGGTCTGTGCAATGACCAGAAGCACAGCATCAACATTATCTGACGTCTGCACATCAAAAACAAACTGGGGGTTCTTGATGATGTTTATCCAGAACCGTAGGGGCAGGCTGCAGATAAGACAGAAGCATAACAGGGTATTAGTGAAGGTGCTGAAGGATATTGTGTACATCACTGCATCTCCCAGCAAAACAGCTTTTCACACCATGCTCTGCTGCCCTGCACTCCTATTTTGTTCCTCCTGGGTCGTGCTTTGCATGTGATCAGCTCTAGACAGCTTAGCAGTGCCTTCTCTGTAGGCCAGAAGAACACCATACCTGTTTGTCTTCCAGATATGGATGGTCTCGGGGTCTGCGATCCCATAGTGTAAGGCCTGCTCATCCAACAGGTCAAAGAAGTACTTGACTGCCAGGGGGACAGGGCGGTTGGTACTGAGGATCACCTGGAACAAGTCATCCACAAACTTCTGCAGAGTGCCCTGTGGAGAACAGAGCAGGACAAAGTCAGCATGGGCAGAGGAGAGCAGAGAGCCAAGGCCTCATGCAGATGAGGGGTTCCCCTCTTCTACTCAGCAGCCTCCTCTAGTGAGTCTATACACATCCCTGCAAGGATACAAAGGATGGGAGGATCCCAAACTCAACCTGTGCTGCGTCTCACCTTCATTGAGAGCAGACGTGTCAGGTAGATCTCCGGGATTGCCTTGGCTCGCTCCCGATCTCTCAAGCTCCCACGCCGATGCTTGGGAAGCTCTGGCTCTTCTGTTGGTTTTACCAGGTGCCAAAGTTTGATCCCACCTTCATCTGCATCCTCCAGCATTGGTGTTTCTAAACCAAGCAATCGTTTACAGATGACTGTCAGTTCTCTCACAGCAGAACATGGCCAGGGGAGCCCCAGGGAGCCAACATTTCACAGTATGATAGAAACACAAATGGGAAGGAACCTCTGGAGGTCTATATCCAGCCTTCTGCACAGATTACAACTGCTGCTATGGTTCCTCAAGCTACAGGAGCATCAATTGAGCTGTTTGTATCCCATCACCACCATTAGGGCATGATTAGCACCTGGGGGTGTTGATTCTTACAAGCTGGAGACTGCTCAGCCCTATGAAGTCTAACTAGAGAACTGTGCTTATCCTGTTTTTTCACACCCAGCCTGGCTTTCCTCTGCTCTTAGACTCTTCTACTTTTCTCTCATCTCACCTGCCCAAGCTTTCCATTTCCTGACAATCCTATGAGGGTTCAAATCACGTATCAGCTTTCTACAGCAGCATAAAGCTGGGGCTATGGCAAGAGACTTGTCCCATTAACTGCCAAGTGCTATAAAATCAGTTTATGAGAACAGGGCATCAAACTCACTCTCTCCTGGGATGTAATCCTGATTCTCCCTATGGATGTGCTTGGTCAGGCGTGGGACCAGTGCTACTGTTGCTCCATCAGGTACCTGCACACAAGCAAAAAAATCGATACCCAAACCAAATGCCACATTTCTTGTCAGGACAACAGACAAGTGCTTGTAGACTAAAACAGACTATCCCATTACTAGAAATAGGGACAGAAACAGGGATTTTGGGGCACCATCACTGTCTCCCCTGATGGTGGGGAGAATCTTGTTTGTACCAATTAAAAAACAATGTGCAAAGCATGAAGACAATAATATGCAGGGGCTGAGGTCATTCACATCTAGAACATGTTGCAGCAAAGTATGACATAATGGTGCAAGATATGACACGTTGGCGCAAAAAAAACCCACTCTTTCTGCTCCTGGAAGCTACTTTGCAGGTCAGTGCACCACCACCTACTAACTGATTTGCACTGGAACATTAACAGATCCAGCAGTGACACCTTCAATACAGCAGCCACCAAATATGAACTTGTGTCTCCTTCCAAGCTCTACACTGCTCGCTACATCCACTGCTTAACCTATATCCAAGATACAGGTTAAGGACAGGGTTCATTGAAGTCAAGAATGTCAGCCACAGCACTGACTTGATATGAATATGCTGCTGCAAGAAAGCTCCAACCCTTTGTGATCCACCAGGAGCCAGAGCCCCCAGTATAGTGTAACAGTGTTTAGAAGATAGGAGATGAGGCAAGGGTAGACTGAGTTCTGACCTTGTAATGCTGAAGAGTGTTCAGGCGTTTCCACGTTCCTTGAACAACAGATGTCACATCCTCATCAGACAGTATGAGGTGACCTGCCAGACCTGATCTCCACTCTGCCATTTAAGCATAGAAAACATGATAAACTGTTAATTTGAGGCACCCCTGAATCTGCTCTGCTTCAACCTGATTGGCCTCACTGCACACCCACTGGTCCTCATCAACCTTTTCCTATGGTGTTTCACAGACGACATAACCTGAGCAAGTGCCTGTAACAATGCTGAGTCCTGCAGCCGCAGGAGAGTTTCTCTGGGTGCAGGGACAAGTGGCCTCATGGTCTCCCAGCTTCCACTCGCCAAGTTCCTGCAAATTCTGTCACATTGTGACTCGTCAAGCAGGTGATTCAAATCACAAATATGCACCCAGGGTCCTTATTAGCTACTATTCCCACTGTACCTGCTCATCTATAAATGCCACAGCTATTCAGCAACAGCCAAAGAATGAAAACTGAGAGGTTTCCCTCACAGTGCAAGTCCCACCTTTCATTAATCACTGTGGGCAAAATCCTCCCTGACTCACATTACTGAGATGCTGCCATTGACTTCACTGGCAGGACTACATCACCTCTGTTTTGCACTCGGATCATCCCTCCCCTCCTACACATTCTCCATGCTTTTTTTCCCCATGTCCCCTTGACCAAGCCATTGCCATGGTCCAAGTCTGGCAAAGAACACCATGAAATGGAAGGGGTTGGACCCAACTGCTTCTTTCCCACCCTTACCTCCTGCTGTTAGCTTCTTTCCTGGCCCTATTGGGTCCAGCCACAGTGCAAGATCCTTGCTCAGTGACTGCACACTCAGCAGAGAATGACAGACATGCATGCCAGTGTGCTGTGTACAGGCAGCAAATAACCACATTTCTACTTCCTCACTGAGCTTTAGCATCAAGGAATTCTGCTTACCAAGGTCCAGGGTATCAGGGTCTGGTCGGTGACAGTAGGGTGTCCCTTTATAGATCTGATCCAGGATTTTCTCCTTCACCTGCGTGATGGTGTCACAGTCTAGCACTTTTGCAGATATCCCTTGGGAGTCCTCTGCCCCTCCTGCAGCAACTCCTGCTTGTGTCAAAGCATTTAAGGTCTGGGGAAGAAAAGAAAAGGTCACAGCTACTCAGCTGGTAAGATTACATCAGACACATTTACACCTTTGATGGTTGGCATTAAGGCCAGTTAACAGCTAGTCCTTTCACTGGAGGAGTTTCAGAAAAGAAAACATCACAGATGTTAAACACCATGTTCTGTCTTGTGTCCAGAGCTGGGAGAGCCAGTTCAACAGTGTTGGAAATCAGCTTTGATGTGCCATCAGCTATTTCATCCCCTTATTTCTAGACACAGAGTACAGCACAAACACCAGATCACTGTGGTGATGGCTCCTATCAGCCTAGGACCTAATTTAGCAGAGCTCTTGCTTGTCTGTGGTCTTGTGTTGTTGGGATAAAGCTGGCTCCCAGGAGGTAATGGCAGGATACAGCACTTCTGCCTCAGTAATGGAAGCAGACATTCAGTCCTGTTAAACTCAGTCATTAGGGAAGAAAGGACTTGGTGCTTACCAGAGTGCGGTACTCCAGGTCCTCTCTCAAAAGGCGGTTGTCATTCAGGGTATATTTGGCTTTCCCTGTCACCCAGTCGACTGGGCCTTTGTCCACCTGGTGCTTGATTCCTCGAAACAGCATGTAAAGGGGCTCCCCAACAGAATCCTGGCACAGAAAGGAAGGAGTTTCACCTGAGAGAAAGTCCACAGGCCAAATACCACATAGATGCACAATACCAAAGCATTGTTCTGCATCACTCATCTGATAGATTCTCCTCGCCACCCCTTCTCCAGGAATGGAACTAGATCAGAATCTGTCCTTCCCCTACACAGGTAGACAAGCCTATGGCCATTGTGTCTCAAGATAAAGGAGATACAGAGTCCTCCTCTGGCATCCTCAAAACAAGTGGCATTAAAGCCAATTTAAGCATCCCTGTCCCCAGTGAACAGTCCAGCTCTCCCATTCCCCACCCTGAAGTAAAAAATGGCTCTGGCATGATTTCAGCCACAAGCAGGCACAAAACAAAGCTGTGGCTGTTTCCCCTCTTTTGCCCCCTCTAGACCACAAAGAACTTACCCTCACAAATGCATACAGGCAGATGGACATCCAGTTGGTTAACAGCTTCTCTACCACTGTTTCTGTCCTGAAAGACAACATCAGGTTGGTCATAGCAATACAGTGCAGAGCAGGGAGAGATCTGGAGATAAAGGTCACTCCCCTTGAGAAGAGAGCACACTAGACAATGATACAAGATCCAGGGAGAGAGGGCAAAAAAGAAGAAGAAAAAAGGGACTTTAGAAACCAGGACAGTTAATGCTTTTGATATCACTTATTTGAAGCACTTTTCAGCCTGAAGGAGGCACCAGATTACAGAAGTAGAGACACAAGCAAGTAAAGGACAGAGGAAAGCTTCTGGTAGTTCTCAAACAAGGGAAATTTGTTCACTTCAGAAGGATGGACCAGGCAGGAGGCTAATGGGGATCCAAATACAGGAGACAGTTCAATTTAGCCTCCAAACGTGGTGTGACTGTGAGCCCAGGGAGCTCTAAACAGCAAACTGAGATTAGCAGACTTGGCAGAGCTCTGGTACCTGAACACAAGGAGAGAGCTGATGAGCAACAGCTTCAAAAGAAGAGGAATTTGGGGTAGGGAACACCAGCTTCCTACTTTTTTCACACCTTTCTATATTCCTTGCCAATTGGCTGAGTGGGACCATGGCTGGCTCACTCACCTCCGCAGCATCAGCTTGGGGTTCTTGGCCACATACTGCTCCACAAGGTCATTCAGGAGTGTTTTGAGGATGTCGGTGAAGTACTCCAGCTTCCCATGCAGTGACACAGTGAGCAATGATGCTACATAGGCCCGGTCTCTTGGAGAGAAAGTGCGCTGGATTTCCAGAGTGTGGATGAACTGGTGGGGAGAGAGAAGCCAGTTTGAATCTGCTGCAAACAAGGCAGCTCCTGGCTGCTGGAAGAGGTGGTGCTGCAGGGAGCTGTTGAGGAATGAGCTTTAACAGCCACTGCCCGCTTCCCATGTGATGGGGCCCTGTCCTTACCCTGCAAACAGACAGAGGGCCATTACCTTGGTGAGGAAGAGCTTGCTGTTGAGCAGGTTGGACAGCTGGACCAAGCCCTGCTCCACTGTTTGCCGCCGGCACTCGGGGATGTCCAGGTCTCTCTGCAGTGGTGACTCACGGTGCCCAGGGAAGAAAATACGCTCTGCATAGGACTTGTAGTCCAAGAAGGGGATTCCTGTGCCTACAAGGTCGCTTGTGAGGTCCATCATCTCAGTCATCAGGTCTGGAGGAAAGGAAATACCCATGAGGCTGACTACATGATCATACAACAACAAAGCATGAGGTGAGTGCAGGAACTAGGGCCAGCAGGATGGGACTGAGGGAGAGGAAGGATGTTTCCAGACAGGAAGAGGCACACTGGGGTCACACTGCTAGGACATTTCAAACTAAACTAGGCACTGGCATAAACTGCATGAGGAAGCTTGGAGAGGAACTAAAAGGTGAATTTGGTGATTATATATAACCGTGGGCTGGTTTCCAGTTTTATAAAGAGGAAGCCACCATTCAGCACAGATCTGTGGTTATGGGCATTACCTACATTAGAGATAAGAGTATTAGGGATCTGCTCCTCACTGCTTCCCACATTAGTTGGGGATTTACAGTCTGAGTCACCTCCCAGGTTCAGAGCCTCAGGTGTCCCTCACAAGGGCTCACTGCTGTAAGCACATTAAGTAAAAGGTTTGTGGACCCAGAACATGCGGTATATTTCAACTTGCCCTACACAAAGACTGGACTAGTTGCTGTTAAGGTCTCTCCAAGTGTGCTGCTCTCTTGACTTTCAGCTCTTCCTCTGAGTCTGAAGGATGAACTGGAGAATCAGAGGGCTCTGTATAGATCACTGTGCTCTGAATTAAAGAGAAGAATTAAAAATGGAAGAATTGGGCTATATGTTTCAATGCACTGGCACAGGATAAAGTTATTGCACCCTTTGAGCTGCCCAAATGAATACGCAGGAATGGAAAGAGAGGCAGGGCAGAGAGTGGATCTTCAAGCTTCCCTGAAGCTGCAAGAACCCAGAAGCTCAGTGACTGACCTGTGAATTCCTTTTTGCATCTGTCCCGAACACTTGTTTCCAGATTTTCCAGCTGGATTTGAACTTTCTTGTAATCCCTCAGAGCCTGTTTGCTCTTCCTCCTGCAATAAGAAGCAGAATTGTTCCAAGTGGCCCTAACCTGGCAATTGTCCTTGCCAACTGTTGTGTTGCTGTCAAAAGCTCCAGGACAATTGGTGTTGAGGTGATTTCTACCAGACATCTTCTTGCAGGATACCAGTGTTCATTCAGAGCCCACACCTAGGGGCACCCACAGTGCAGGTGTAACGTGCCTCACACATCAAACAGCACCAGGGGCTCAGGATTCGGCACAAAATAAAGAAAACAGGGATCTTGTTTAGTCCCAAGATGTTCACACTTGGCCACAGCCACTGAGTAACATTGTGAGGAACTTAAAGACCTCATACAATGCCCGAGTTTCTTACCTGTATATGAAGACGATGACCAGAACAATCAGTGCCACAAAGGATGCACCAACACCCAACCCAATCTGTGCCTCAAGTGGGAAAGTGAGCTGGCTTTCTGTGTCGTACTGCACCCGACCCAGGAGGAAGTTCAGGTTTCCCATCTGTACCTGTAAGAAAGGATGTGCCATGATGTAAGCTCAGTCAGCAATGAAATGCAAAGCCACAGGGCAGCGCTTGGCTTGTAAGAGTAGAGTTGAGAACAAGAGCAGCTCCTTGCCACCCCTGGTACCTCCCCTATCCCCCACCAGGCTTCTGCCTTTCCTCCACTCCCCATCCCACTCCCTGCCTCCACTGCTTCTTGCTTGTGCTTCAGAAACCAACAGGATTTCTTGAGGTACTGCTGATTCCATACCGTGAACTCTGGGAGCAAGTCTGTGCCCTCCCGCTTCGTGCGGTGCCGTGGGGCCGGCTGCTCAGAGGGAGGCTCACAGTACAGATGGTTCCTTGTCAGTGTCTTCACCACACAGATTCCTTCTCCAATCATAGCCATCACTTCATCCTTGGAAATAGCCAGATCTAGATTTTCCCCCTGGAACAGAAGTGGAACAGCACATCAAAACAGGGGAAGAACAACTCCGCATTTCCATGGCTCCAGAGAAGATGGAGGAGACCAACACCATCGGATGAAAGCAGCCTTTTTTCCTCTCCGACTAGGCTTGCATCAGAATTGGCTGCAGAAGTTCATTTTGTAAGCTAAAAACTCAGTTGCATACAACTTAGATTACAGCTTTAGGACTTGCACCATGCTGCCCAAGTACAGTTATAAATAGCCTGTCTTTTTAAGGCTCTTCAGCCACAGCAGGACTTCACTCTATGTGTATATGCATATACACACACACAGTGTGTAGATGTGCTCTGGCAGGTTGTAAACCTGTCAAATGCTTTAAAACCTTGCATGCTGCATGCCACCAATTTAAAACACTCATTTAGGAACAACTTTGTCCAAGGAACATGATTTCCAGCTAGATTTTGTGTTACCTCCACAGAGATGACACTTCCTGGCTTATGCCGATACGGTTTGGCAGGGTCTTCAGCATTCAAGGGTTTTAGGATGGGGTTAACTTCATACGAGAAGGGCATGGGATGCAGCGAGTTGAAATCAAAGCTGAGATTATCCAGAATAAATTCCAGTTTGATATGGACACTCCGCAACAGCAGGTTAATAGCTGGAGTTTTGCACAGGATCAGGTAGGAGGAGTTCACCAGACATGGTTCTTCAAACTAAATGGAAAAGGCAGATGAAGTGTCAGTAGTGAAGCACTAACTGGCAGAGAACACTTCCACTTGGTCAATACTGTTAGTACGATCCAAGCAGACAGCAGCGAGGGAAATCCTACAGGGACAGAAAGCCCAGTAATCCAGAGCAACACATCAGCCCTTATGCACCCTCAGCTCCACAGAGCACTTTGCCGTGGTACCTGCTGGACGCTGCACAGAGCGCCCTCAGGGCACTGGGTGTCAGGGATGATTCTGCGCCATCGTCCCAGAGCTCGGCGTCGCCGTTCGGATGGGGAAACCGTAACTCGGATCTTGGGTTTCTGTACAACATCCAAGTTGTAGCCATGAACTCTGAGCACTCTCCCTCCACTGAAAGAGAAAAGCAGCTGATCTCAATCACCTCTCTCTTGCTCATGTTTCCACCCTTCTGCTTATGCTCATTCCCACAAGCCTGCCTTTACTTCAAAGTGTAACTCAACAACTTGGTGCTGTAGTACCTGCCTCAGCACACAGCCCTGGGGAAGGTGCCCTCAGTCTTTCTACCTGAGGAAGCTTTTAGGTGGCTCTGCAAAAGTGACGTTGGGATCCAGAGTGTATCTGAAGAGGGATCCTTCCAGTCTTCGCTCTTGGTCCCCGTATTTGATGGTGACTGGGAGCTCTGCAGACACATTGCTGGGACTGGTCTGGCATGCCAGCTGGTCCTCTGTCATCTCAGAGAGGCTTGGAGGGACAGAAGAGAGAACAAGGGATTAACAGCCACTGCAGAGACGAATTTTATAGTATTGTGCCTTGCTCTTTGCAGACAGTCTGCAAACCTCTTCTGATATTTTAATAAGTTTAATGGTGAAAGCATCTTGTGCCTTATCTAAGCAAGCAATAACTCTTATCTTACATGTGACACGGGAGGTCTCCAAGCAGGACACTGATTTCACTAGGATGCCCAGTCAGCAGCTTTGAGCCCAGAAGGGTAAGGCAGGTTCCTCCTGCTTTGGGGCCCTGAGTTGGCACAATGGATTTCAGCTCTGGGTTCTAGGAGAGGGGACAAAAATTATGAGAGGTGAGAGAGGACCTCAAAGGATAAGAAGGAAAGAAAACAGCAGAACGTGTTCAGTGACCTCCAGTGCTCTGAAAACAGAAGCTATAGATCCCAGTCACAGGCAGGCCTCAGCTAGCTTACAGAGCAGAGGCAACAGAGGAGGGATCAGTCACACCAGCAACAACCATAAACTGGGGACCAGCCTTTCCACAGCCTGCAAAAGGCAGATGGAAGCTGCAAACAGCAGAGCTGTGAGCCTCACACAAACCCCAGGATTAACAGTTCAAAGGGATTGTTCAGATCAGTGACTGGATTAATAACTCATGTTAGGAAAAACAAGGCAGCAAATAAATTGTTTGTCTTGTAGATGAGGAGATTACCAGCAGGGAGCTCTAAGAATTTGTGTTAAGACTTGCGCTATTAAACTTACTTGTAGGTGGCCTGGAAAGGGGAAACAAAACTTAGTAAGTTATTCAAAGCAACAAAAACTTACTACCACTGAGGAGCTGCAGCAAAATCTAGAGGAACCTGAGAGGCAAAAGTCAGTCACTGCTGATAAACGAAGATACTTGAAGGGAGAAGGAGCAGGGAGAGTACAGCAATAACACAACCCAACCATGTGTACAGTTGTGAGAACTGAAATAGCTCCTGCCCATTCAAGAGTGCTTTAGTACCTGTAACAATCATGCCATCTGTAAGCACAGATCTCAGCAAAAACACATCAAATTGTAGGAATTACTGGTAATTATGCCACAGCAAGTTCCTTTACACTTGTCTTGACCATAGTACACAGTTCTCATCACTCTGCCTCAAAATGGTGAAAATAAACCAAAACCTAGAGCAACAACTGGATAATCCAGTATATAAAATGGTTTTATACAGCCCCAGATGGAACAGACTAAGACTTCTCAGCATCTCTTTCCCCTTCCCATGGGAGAGGGGGACATGCAACTAGGTACATAACAAAGTTCAACAGAAAGGATGAAAAGTGAGTAATTGGATCTAAAAACGACTTAAACACTATTTCATCCTTGCTGGGTTTAAGATAGCAAAGAATTATTAGAAACATGTTTATAAACAATAGGAAACATTTCTCCATACAATGCACAGTAACTCTGGATTACTGCCACTGGCTGCTGAAAGTCAGAAGCTAAAAGAAGCAGCAATTTACACATTAATAAAAGGAAGGTCAGAACTTTTAGTAAGATGTTAAGTCATTGATTAAAATATCTCCGCACCAGAAAGACACACTGTAGAGTCCCACAGGTTCATGCACTACACAGGCATTTAGCAGAGATACTGGAAGAACAGGAGAGGTGTTAAAGCAGCAAGAGTTACATTACCTGATAGGTGAAAATGTGCCCAGAAACTCCACGTCCTCCTCCAGGCACTTCCACCACAACGTGCCCAGATCTCTCTGTCCAGCTCCTGCCAGTGACGCACACGATACTGCAGGACAATCCAACAACAGGGTCACACCACGGAAGAGCAGATGAGCTGTATCCATTGCATTCTCCTAACACCATCTAGTGACCCACAGCTCCCTCCTTTCTGCCTTATCACATGCTCAGAATATACAAGCAAATGTTGACAAACACCTTTAAAACCTGGATTTGGTGCTGTCTGTTCCAAATAGGCTCACCCTATCCAAGATTACACTTTTTGGGACAGATAGGATGAAGCCCACTGTATCACTGATACAGGAAGTCCAAGAACTCTGTTATTGTTCAGAGGTGATCAAGTCAGTCACATCTGGAGTGACCCCAGGCTAGCAGTGGTCAATCCACACATTAGCACTAGGTCTGATCTAGAAGAAAACTGAAGACTGTGGATTTAGCTGGCTCTGGTCTTCAGCCAGTGACCTCTGGAACCAGCCAGTTCCCTGATCTGCACCACCCATTCTTCCCAGCCCTTTTTCCAGCCATTATTTGGTGTGGGAGACGCTGACAAGGTGAAAAGTCAGCTGCTCTTAGAACAAGGCAGCAAGGAATCCCATGTTACAGCACTGATTTGCTAACAGGAAAACTACTCTTCAGGAGACTTCCCAGCCTTTGTCTGGGCCTTGCTCAGGAGTGGGTTCCAGGTTCACAGCTATATTCCCTCAACCAAAAAGGCTCAGGAATTGGAACGCAGGCAGTGCCAAGCCAGGACCCTGTCATGCCAGTGATACACAGACACAGAACAAACACAGTGCTAACCCCAGCAAGATTACACTCTAATTCTAGGGTGAAAACAGAAAGCAGATGGATCCAGACAAACAAGGCGCACAAACAGGACAACACTGCTCAACACAGCAGGCCATTTCCCAGCAGGATCTTACCTGGCTCCCAGAGGGAAGGGTGCTATAACTACTGCTACCATGGAATGGAAAAATGGGTTTGTGATAGCTCTAATGAGAGGTTACTCACAATTGCTCTCCTCTTCTTCTGGTTGCTTGGCTCCTCTCCCTCCCTAGTCCAAGGCTCCCACCTGCTTGCCCTACCACAGGCCAACTACACAAATAGTCCCTTCTCTTTGCTTCCTAGCTACCCCCCAGTCATATCTCTCAACATCTAGATTACACTGCCTTGTTGTATGGTTCTGCCCCGGCCAGACACACCAGCTCCCCAGCACTCTGTCACTGACATTAGCTGGATTCAGCAGGACGGGTCTATCTGCTTCTCATTCTCCTCCTATCCACCATGTTTACAAGCATTGTGTGACCTGCCAGGCACTTCTAGTCATCAGAAGAGTGGCACTGGGGCACACCAGGACTCCCTGGTCTACTCCTGGTTGTGGGGGTTCTTTCATTTGGTTTGTTTTTAGGGGGTGGAAGTCTGGCTGGCAAGTGAAGAACGAACCTAGGGATGTGCCCACTCAAGCAGAGGCAAGAATCTGTGTGTACCTCCAACCACACATTCCCATCCTCACCCTGTGTTAACATGGTCAGGATATTTTCCTAGCAGTGATGCTTGCCCAAGGCATATCCTTTGCTTTACTAAAATCACCCTGTAGCTGGGAGAGACACCCATGAAACTCAAGATAGTGTGGTCAGTAAAAGGCAGCACTGTTTGGCCATTGCCTTGGACACAACCTTATCTAAGGTCACTGCCTGAGTAAGTAACCAGACAGTGACCTTACCCAGAGGCACTCCCTGGGAATGGACAAGGCTCAATACCTGCTACAGCAAAGGCAAGGACATCTCAGGCTGGTGTCAGCAGCCAAGGGAAAAGCCAGCGCTTGCCTCTGGGAGGAGGTTTCACAGATACTCTACCTGCTAGAGATCTCATACTCTTGAGCATCTACGGCACAGGGAATTCCTGCAACAGTGACAGTTTCTGCAATGTCTTGATGTTTCTGCCCGAGGTTTGAGCCAGTGATGGTGATTCTAGTGCCACCTTCCACTGGTCCAGACAGGGGGTACACCTGCAAAGACAGCCGCGCATGTGTCAATGTCACAGTATCTCAGAGCTCTACACTCTGGCAACTGATCTACAGCACAGGGCCCTTCAACTGCCCCATTACAAACTTTGCCTGGTCGGGTCACTGCTATGGATTCCTTTAACTGGCTTGGACTAGTACCAGGTTGCTCCCTCATGACGAGAAAGGCCATTAAGAACACACAGTTGGAGCCTTCTTTCCCATACTTCACTGTTGCCAAAAGTCCCCCCCAGAAGTGATAATCCACTATAGACTTCAAAGGACCGCTCTGCTTTGCCTTCTCATCAACATGCTGACCACTCCACAGGGCATTTCTGCTGAGGAGTGGGAATGCACAAGCCAATACATGTTACTGGTGTTGAAGCAGCAAGCACCATTCCCCCCTCAGCATCAGTACGACAATGAATTGCATGCTGCACAAAACGTCAAAGCTCTGTCCCTGAGCGGCATCCAAGATAAACTAAGACAAGATGCAGCACATGGATGTTGTGTGCCACTGGAGGGAGGACAAGCTGACAGCAAAAGGGACACATGGCTACAGACACTTGTCATGTGGCAGTTAGCAAGAAACATTTAAAGTAAACACACAAAAATAATTCATTCCAGTAACCTGTCATGCCTTTGCCTTCCTTTCTGTGCTGTTATTATTAGGTTTTGCCCTCCTTTGCCCCAGGCTCAGTTGGGCCAATCTGTTTCAGGGTCTGGCCCAGGACAGTTGGAGGATCTGTGGACCCTTTCCCAGCTCCTGAATGATTCTGCTCCTTCTGGTGTGCCAGCTTCACGTGAGATACAAATGTATCTTTCCCCACTGTTCCCTATCAGCAAACAGAAAGCCCAGCACAAGTGTCTAGCATCCTCAACACCAAGGGGTCACGATAGACTAGGACTAACTTGCTCTTCAGATAGGAAATGTATTACTGAGCTGCACTGTTCATGCTCCAAGGTCACAGCCCTTTGACTTTAACTGGAGAATACAGGCCTGGGTGCAGTACACTAGCGAGCAAGTTACTCACAGAGTGAATGAGAGGTGCTGGACACAGGTCTTCTATATCTTCCTTGCAGGAGCCCCTGAAGATACAGCTGGGGTTGTCACCTCCACACCACACACAGTTGTACTTGGAGTCAGCAGTTTGGCAGCGGCTACAGTCAGTGTGTCCCACAGAGCAGTTGTAAAAAGTCACTGCAAAGGAGAAGAATTCAGAGGCATCTGCAAACATCCCCTAGGGAATAATCCAGCAACCCGGCATCTTGCACACAACCCTCTGCTCCTCCCTCCTCTGGGACAAGCAACAGGAATGAGGCTGAATGTATTCCTTAGTTTCCTTGTGACAGGACTACTAGAGATGCAAAAGGCCTCATCTGAGGATGTTTCAGTTCTCTTCCACCCCATCTGCAGTGTTCTTGCTGGGGAGGTGTTGGGCTCCTACCGTGGAGATCTGCAGCACTGTCCACTCGAAGGTGTCGTTGCCTCTGCACAAACACCACAGCATTGAATTCGAGTTGAGGCGCTGTGTAACTGTACTGCAAAGACAAAGACCATCAAGACAAATGACTTGAGAGGCATAAACAACCAGTTAAATAGGCAAAAAGCATCAGCAGCCATCCTGTGCAGTGCACCGGCACATAGAGCCTAGACAGAGCTTCCTGCAAATGCTCTAGGAAGAGCGGCAGGCATTAGTTAACTAGGATGAACACTGGAAACAGATCTGTGCTCACAATACTTGACCAGCTCCCTGTCTGCATTCCTAATGGCTAATTCCTATGTCCAAGCCACCTGCTCAGAAAACTGCTCAATCCAGCACTTACGCAATTTCAGTAGTGCTGAAGATGTAGAATTACAACTGGCCCACAGGGCTCATGGGCACAAGAGCCTGTGTTATCCCTCTCCCTTAACTATATGTGTTTGTGAACCGAAAACAGCACCTCTGCTTGCAAACCCTGCCCTAAGTAAATTCCACACATCATCCAGAAATGTACATGGCTGTTGTAATTTTGCTCTTAATCCTCCCATCCACAGCCTACCTTCCGCCACTGAGAACAAACCTGGTACTAACAGCATGTTTCTTTTCACAAAAGAGCCACCATCACAGAAGAAGTCACGATCCAGAGAACCATGAACAACAGTGCCTCAAGCTAAAGCTGAGGTGGCACAGTCCTGGCAGGCTGTGATGAGCAACAGCTCAGAGATGGCATCATCCCATACTACTGTCAATGCAGGTTATGAGGCTCAGGCTGTGCAATCTTTCTGCCAGCTGCAGATACCAGCACTGCCAGGCAGCAGCAGCAGCACAGATGATGGCCCCATAGTGCTAAATATTCCATAAATATCTTTGCAAAGAGCTTCCCTTCCAACCTGCTGCTTTGCTGAGTGAAACCAGCACCAGTGTGAGCTCTGAAATGGCATGTTAACCCAAGCACTCACCTGGTTCATCTGGCAGGTGATATAACAGAGGGATTTGTTTGTTTCTTCTCCTTCCACATAAGCATCCATCACCACTGTCCTCCCCTCCAAATTCAGGACACACTCATAGTCCCACTGCTGGTCCTGCAGAGGAGATAGACATGGCACCAGTTCTTAGCTACACAGAGCTTCCTACTACATGACAGTGTTCTCCTCCCTCTCCGACTCAGCACCTTTTAAAAAGCCACTCTGCAAGCAGCGTGCTCCTATCATTCCCTTCATTATACAACTCTATGCTACATTCAAGGCTCTCTATGCTGTCACTGCCTCCATGAATTAAAGACAAACCAATACAAAACACAAGGGAACACGTGTTTGTCAGTGCAGGGAGAACTCGGCACAGGAAGAGGAATTCAAGCAAAACCACTGGGACTCTGAAGTTATGCCTGTATCTGTGAAACACTAGCTTGGAAATGAGGACTGGAGTACACAGACTAGGCCACTGCACCTCAAAATCTCTTAAGTGCATTTTTCTTCTTTCTCTCCTGTACATGTTCCACTGACTTGCTTAGACACTCCCTGTAAAATAGATGGATACGCATCTGCAACCCGCTCTGTACTGAGCAGTGCAGTATGTCAGGTTTAACATAATGATTAGTCCGTGGGCTGCATGTTCTGAGGCAGTTGTTTGTAAAAAGTTACTAAATCAGGCTTCTGTCTTGAGAAGCAAAGATGATTTTTATCAGAGGCACACCCAAGAAACATAGCTTTCAAGGGTGGTTTTCCCTACTGCAGAAGTTTCAGGTACGACAGGAATAGCCACATTAACATGAACGTGCCAGAGGAGGAAAGGGAACAGAGACTTATCTTTAGCTTATGGAGACACAATCAGGAAAGATTCATCAGGAAGTTATTCCAAGAACTACAGCACAGGTGCAACTGAATCCAAAGGCACGCAGATCTTCTGCAGCAGGTTGGTGCACATCTGAACTCTCCCTTTCTCTGGGGGACCTCCTACTCACCAATAAATCCAGCTATGAAATGCTTTATTCACAGAATTAGGTCATTCCCCCTAAGGTGTTTCTGCAAACAGGAGAAACCTAGGCAGAGCTACAGCTGCAGCTTACGTGTATTTTTAGCAGTGCAATGGACATGGTGCCCAGAGTGCTCTGCATTAACACAGTTTTCTCAGTGCTGATGGTGGTGAGCTACCTGATAGAGGTGGAAGTTCTTTCCCAGCAGGGTTATCTTCCTTGCCACGTTGACTGGAAACAGCGAAGATCCCTGGATTTGCTGCACACAGGGACATGCATCTGGACCCCAGCTAAGCTCTTCATCCTGAAACCAAACACATGGCTTCAGAGAAAGAGACCTCCACGACTCTCATACAGGGAATCAAAGCCTGACATGCCAACAGAGAAACAGCCCTGCCTGAACAAAGACACGGCTGTGCTTTACCATGAAGTTCTAAGCAAGCAATACAAGAGCACAAAGAGGTGAAGAGCAAAAAGCTGCGAACACGCTGGACATCACAGCAGCTGCCACCTTCAGGCCAGCAGCATTTCTGCAAGAGCGGGGAACCTTGCACACGTTTTTCTTCCTCAGGCTGCTGTTTCCCCTCACATTACAGCTTCTCAGAGGGCACAACCCCTCAGCTTCTACAAGCTCAGAGGGCACAACCCCTCCTGTGTGCTGAAATACTTGACCTGCAATGTGTATGACCATTTCAGTGTTACAGTGTTAGACTGGGAATCCAGCAACTCACCTCTTCCCAAAACTCAGGAGCATCATACTGATAGTTGAGGTCTGGGTGAAGGATCCTGGGGAAGTCAGGAACATCCCTCTCTGAAGAATCCCCATCACCCGACAGAAGGGTAGAAGCAGAGAAGGAAGATGTGTCATTCTCAGCCTGCAGCAAATCCATCCAGTCCTCCGTGTCCTGCAGCTCCGTGCCTTCCTCCAGCAGCCATTCTGGGGGAGCTGATGGTGGGAGCTCTGAAGCAGGTAGTTCAGTTCCCAGCAATCCAGGAGAATCCTCAGAGGCAGCAGGACCCCCCGGCACCTGGCTGGGAGTTTGGGGAGATGGGATGGCAGATGTCAGTGCCTCTGTGGTAGGAAAAGAACTCGGAGGCCACTTCAAGCTGGTGACATGAGGAGAAGGTGTTACTGCTGCTGAAAAGGTGTGCGGAGGGCTACCCACTAGCGTGGTGGGTGGGTTGGTGTGCTGTGGCCCCTGGGCGGTGGCTGGCCCTTCAGTGGGCAAGGCTGCATGATCCATGTTTTTGGATGGGCTGGTGAGGACAGATGCAGAAGGAGAAGTTGTCTCTGGCTCAGTGACAGCAGGTTTGTCTGCTGGTGGTGGCAGGGGGGATTCTGTGATGGCCTGGAGAGAGGCTGCTTCAGTTGAGGGAGTCAAGTACGTATAGCTGAGGGTTTCTGTAGGCTCAGATGTCATGTCCAAGGCTGCAGAGAACGTGATGCGGTTGGGCTCTGAGGAGGGCACAGTGCTTGGTACCACTCGCACAATGGGGGGAGTGATGGGTTTTGTGGCCGTGGTTGGGGCTGTGGTAGAAGACTTGGTGAGGGGAGCTGCTGAAGAAGGAAACACACCTGAGGCTGGGATCTGGGCCTAGAGAAAAATAACATCATGGGGTGAGAAGAGAGAAAGAAAATAAAACAGTATAGAATCCAAGCAGGAAAACACTTCATACTACTTCCTGTGGTAGTGCTCACAAGAGGCTGCTTCACCCTCTGGATTTAAGTGAGAGCTACATCTCATGCCACCTTGTCTTGGGATAAGACTGGGGAATGCTCAAAGTGCAGAAGATCCAGCAACATTCCCTCTTCCCGCCGATTACTGCACTCACCTCCACTTGGAGGTCTGCCTGCCTTCATCCCCCGCTGAACTGCAAGACTACCTGTGGCAGCCACAAACTGGGCATCTATTTCACTTTCCCCCTTGCAGCCTCTCTGCCAGCTTGTTCTTGTCCCTTGCTTTGAAAACAGAGGCTGGATAACCCCAGGAGAAGGGCAATCTGCTTCATTCGATGGCAATTCCTCAGAAACCTAGCAAGGCCTTTTAACATGAGGCACACAGAGCCTCGTGTTGCTCCAGCAGCTCACATCCTTGCTTCATGCAACTGAGAGCTGTTATTTTACCTGAGATCTGATTCACTGCATCTCACTGAGGCTGTTCTAGCACACAGGACTAGGACCGAGTATGAAACGCACCCTTTCATTGTAGATAATGATTCCTTCCTCACAGGCTGCTTTGTGGGTACAGAGGTGCTGCTGGATGCACCAGTTACATCCCCAGAGGCTGCTCACACACTTCTTGCACCTGGAATAATGATGGAGAAGCAGCTGCTGAGATGACCCAGGCAGGGGAGAGCCACCCTCCCTAGAACTACAGAGAAGAAAAAGCATGTGCTCACGGTGCCGACTTCCACAGCAGGGCCACTGCAGCACAGTCATAGAAAGAGAAGTCCACAGAAGCAATGAAGATGTCATGGAAACGCACTACGAGCTTTATGGTGACATGATCTGAAAATGAAAACAAAAGTTTCTTAGAAATGGAGCCACTCTAAGCCTGCCATACTGTTAAGAGACTCAGCATGCTCCAGGAAAGACACTGTCAAACATGGAGACAGATTCCTCTAGCATCTCAATCACTGGATTATCCTACGGACACTAGAATCAAGTTGGACAAGTTTGCCAGGAGTACTTTATGACAGCTCTTGCCAACCCACGGGAAGGAAGGCTAGTCAGAAAGCTAGTCTTCCATCTTCATCTGCTATAATTCCACTGTCATCTCTGTATTAGAGGAAGATGTAACATTCCAGGCTCAAAGCTGATTGTCTTCCTTTTTCATCCAAAGGAAAAACAAACCCTTAGAACTGACATAGCCCTTTATCTTCAGAGCTTTGTTCTATGCCCAGACTAAGAAGTCACGGAAGAGGTTTAAGACTTGTAATCTTGTTTGCAAGGACTGAAAGCTTATCTGCTTTAAATCCAGGTCTCATGTCAACTAGAAGCCTCAGGATAGCCCAGTTCTTTGGGAAAAGACTATCACTGTCTTCTGATAGACTAAAGAGCTGCAGAGATGGTCAAAACTTAACTGCAGCTGATAGCATGAGCTGAAGGAGGAATTTTGCATATGGTAGTACTAACCCAGCTTATTAATCCTGTTCCAGACTAATGTCCTCAGAGCTGGGTATTGGTTTCCCAAATAATGGGTCCACATTGCATGCTCTGCTCAACTCCAGGAGCTGCCATTTCTCAGGACAGTTTGCTATAGGTGTAAGTAACTAGAAGCTTGTCCATCATTCCTCTCACAGAATTCAGGCCTCCTCATGCAAGCAAACCCTAATCACCACAAAACAACCAACATGTGTGCTGAAGGATCAGTCAGGGCTAAGCTGGGCTCCTGACAGGATGGCAAGTGAAGCTGCATGCCAGTAAATCAGCTGATGATGAGGTGTGCATGGAAACCCATGATTAAGAGAAAATCAGGGTATTATATAGGCAGCTGGAGCAGGAGTCACTGCAGTACTGCCAGCTCCCATCACTGTCACAGGGGTGATTGCATTTGGCAGTGGTGGCAGGGCTAACACCTCCCAGGATTGCGGGGTTATGACACCATGTTTATAAATATTCCTTTTTCCAAAAAGGCCATTATTTCCCATGATGTCAATAATGCTGTTCAGTGGTACAGAGCATGAGGTTGAGCACTTGCAAATTGAGAGCAAGAGTTTCTGCTATCAACTTGAAGCTCAACAGCTTAAAGTGACAGATGAGCTGGTATGCAACCTTTAAAACAAAGCTGAAAGGCAGGCAAATGTTTTAGTGAGCTGGGAGAAGTATTATAAGTAGGAATAAGAAAGTGCCACTATCTAACGCCCTGATGAAACCTCATTTAGAAAACAGTGTTTGATTCTGGTTACCAGCTTCTAATTCATCTTAGCAGAGCACAGAAGCCATGCAAAGAAGGGCTAGCAGTACAGGGATGGAAAGAGGAAGTCTGAGTAACAAAAGAACACAAGTTAACACAGCAAAACTCCGTGCTTAGAATGCCTGGCCATAGTTCACTGAGTGGGATTAGAGCTGTGGAAGCAAAAGGACAACACAAATAGATCAAAGGGACACAAACCATCCATGAGCAAATTCAGGCTAGAAAACAAAAGCGAATTGTTAAGTCTTGGAGATGCAATGTGAAAGTGGCTCAGGTAAAGCATCTCTGGAGTCTTGAAATGAGAACAAGACTGACTTACAAGGGAGTCAGTAAGAATATCTGAAGCCTGGAATGAGAACTAGACTGTGGCTTTACTGATTTTTCACAACTGTGCTTAAATCCAGGCCCACATGTGCAGAACTGAACAGGAAAACCAATCCTACCCACTGTGCCTTTAGTGGCAGTGCATGAAGCCCTTTCCCCCTCTGCTTGATGACCCTGAATGGAGACCATTGAAAAATGAAGGTGTTTGAAACTGAATCAGTGTGTTAGCTGGGTTCTGCTGTCATGTTATGTTATGTCCATGGAGACTGCTTCAGACCTATTAGCCAGCTGCATACTTCCATGGAAAATCTGTTTAGCCACTTTGGTGAATTGTGTGGAATGCTTTCCAACCGGCACCTGCCTTTTACTTCAGATGAATGAGCTCTTTGAATAGAGCAGCTCTCACACACAGGCTGGGTAAAATCCAATGCAAAGACTATAAACTGAGAACTTCCCATATTCTTTAGAGTGGCCAATTAGCAATGATCAGCCAGTTATTGTTTGCAGTAATAGAAAGCTGACTCTGTATTTTCTGACTTTGTGCAGCACTGCAGATTCATTTCTAACTTAAAGGACTGTAGATCTCTCCTTCCCTTACATGTACATCCTTCTCCCACTACTACAGGGATTTGGAGGATGTTTGCATTTGGTTTGAGTACTTAAGAGAGTTCTCTCTCCAGATATATGACAAAGCTGCCAAACCAGCCACCACTCTAGACTGCATTTCAGCTCATGTTCAGATTTGCACACAACCCTTCGAGCAGGATCTCCTTTCCAACTACCAAAATTTGGCACTGGAATTTGGCAACAGCCCAAAATAGCACAGGATGTGTGACACACAAGTAGAAAGCAAACAGATATTATGAAGAATGAAATGAACACCTGCTGACACACCACATATATCCGTGGCTGTTAATCCTGGCAATCTGACAGACCTACAACATACTTTCTCCCAGCAATGGTATCACAGCTATCATGCTCCATTTAAAGCATTTCACTGACCTGCTCCTGTTGGCAAAGCTGGTGCTTGGCTGGGATCTGGAGAAGGACACATGATTCCTGACTCTGTCAGCACTGCTGGGCTTTCATAATCTTCAAAGTAACATGAGTAAAATTCTTCCTCACGCAGGGAAGGTAAGTCCGAGATAGCCAGGAATATCTATCAATTCAATAGTATCCAGTGAGTAATCTGCCCTCTAACTTATTCTTCTTTGTTTAAGCTAATTTTCTCATTCTATTTTTTCAAAGTAAGAGCCCCCTGAAGTAGTTATCTACATATACATCTATATCCTATAATGCCTCCTAGGAGTGACTGTTCCAAATCATTGTCTCTTGCCATTCCCAAACTGAACTTGGCACCCACCAAGCAATTGGCAACTTCCCCCTTTGCCCAAGTCTGTAGCATAAAACAGGTTCTTGCCACCTCCTGACACAATATCAGGCTTCAGAACAGTGCAGCACCTTCTTAGCTTTCCTGCCAGCTCCCAGATGCCAGACTGAAGCTGAAATTTTGGGTAACTCCTTCTAGATCTTCCTGACAGCAAGTGTCAGAAACACTGTGAGACCACAGCACCTTATAGATACTAATCCAAGGAGGGACCTCACCCAAGCAGCCACCAGATACTCCAAAATACCCAGGAACTCTGTGAAGGCAAGGACATTTAGTTTCCTAGAGAAAAAACAATGAAATTATCTCCTGGAACAGCCAAGCTGTTAAGTCCCTTATGTGAAGCAGATGTGATTGAAGGCTCTGATTCAGTACCCCACTGAAAGCAACAGGAAAACTTGTGACTCCTCAGTTTGTAGGGGGTTTTCTACATGTTTGAACATCAGAGGATCAACACCACTCACATTTCTCTTTTCCTCTCTGCTGATATTGGCTGGAGTTAGTGACTGGACAGACAGACACTGTTGTGTAGAGTTAAAGCTCCAGAGCCACTGCTCACTCAACCTGGACCGCAAGCACTCAGAGCGACGGGTGCACCTGCAGGGAAATAGCAAGAAGCTCTATGAGAGATCTAAGGGGACACGTTCAGCTTCCAAACTGACACTGGCCATCTTCTACATCCCATGGTCTTCTCTAGTTCTCACTACTCTAGAGTCTTGCTAGAGTCTAGTCTAGTCACTTGCTAGAATCTTGGGGGAGCTGCTACACAAGACACAAATCTCAGCCTCTCACCACTTTCAATAACAGGAGGAACTGTTGCCAAAATATATCTGGCAATATATATTCCCATTAAATCCATATATTCCTATGGCATTCTACAGGTGGACAGAGCCAGCAAGCAGAGAGGCACACTGGAACAAACCATATCTCATTAAGCAACATCAGTAGGGCAGCAAGAAGTGGAAGAGTGCTAAATGAGAGTGACACAAGAAGAGATAACACAGCTTCTCTACATTTGAAATGGGACAGTTTGAGCTGCAAGCAGACTAAAACCAGGCTGAAACCCACTGGACAGGAGCATGGTGAATGGTGACCCAAAAAAGCAATGGAAAGATACCCTTGTGTGCTACTGCCAGTGGTGTTTTAGGGAAGCAGATAGAGCAGTAGTAAGTTAGAGAGGACATCCCATAAAGGAACTAAAAATAAACTAAATTCAGGCACACAGACATAAGGAGGAGAGTAAGTAGAGACAATCCCTATGCACTATCCCTCCCCAGAACCCTTGCAGGTCAACAGGGAGCTATCTTACCGTCCCTGAAGGACACACCAGCCACAGTATGGATCTTTCAGAGCCAGACAGGATTCACAGTCCGAGTACAGGGAACATTCCAGTATGGGAACCTTTACCACCTGCCAGAAAAAGCAGTCAGTGAAAACACAGCACACACAGCACAGGCACCAGGTCTATGGCTTCTTCTACCTAACTAGCAAGTCCCATCATCTCCATGTTCACTGAAACAACTTCTTAATCCCCAATATTGGATAAAACCAAAGGAAACAGGAACAAGCTCACAGAGCCCATCTGAATGGCCACTTCACATATTGGTGAATGACATGTAAACACCAGGCTGCCCAGAGGCACCGAGATGAGCAATGTGTATTCTATTAATGGGTTATCCTTGACACGTTTTGAAAGAAGGAGACTTTATTTGTGCTAAATCTGTATTTTAACAAAATAGGTTAAAGAACAGACTGAACACCATTCACTCTTCTGCTTTTCTGGACTCTGTCATGGGACATCATCTCTCCAACATGCAGGTGACACAAGTTGGAGACAGCAGCTCTGGCTAAGGGCTCTGACTGTACCTGCACTATTGCCCAGCTCTATGTGGCAGAACTATCATTTTGACTGAAAGTAGAGCAAGCAGCTTTGATCAGTGTGGAACAAAAACCTTCTGGTATGTGGGGGTAACTTTTACTTGCAAAACACTTCTGCTTTAAACTTACTAGCCTTGATGATTTCAGCCTCTTGCCCTCCTCCCTTTAATCCGCTTCTACACTCCAGCTACTACCCTGTCAGTTACTTCAAAATGCCAACTTCTAATCCCCAACCTATTACTTCTGCTGAGTACAGGATGTAATTTATGCTTTTTAATTGACAGAACAATTACTGGAAAGGATATATTTCAGATTTCCCTCATCGTCTTCCACTCACAGATTTCAACTCTTCCTTTGAAGCGTTAGAGAAGTTCTGAGTATCTCAAAGTGCTTGGGGTGGGGGTGAAAGGAAGCAGTGGTTTGCCAGCATGCTCTCATTTTATGTTTGTTCTTTCCTTCAGAGTAACTCAAGGGCTATTTCCCTTTACTAGAAGGATCCTTTTCTTTCCAGCTCAGGGAGCTGATACGAGTGGTGCTGTACAAATCCTCTCAAATAAAGGATTTCTTACTCAGCAGACACCAATATTCCAGGAGTCAGAGGCATCAGAATGACTCTTCTACATCTGCCGCTGGCACAAAGAGTATTACAGAAGGCAGGAGAAGAGGCAAAGGTGCTTCACATGGCAACTTGTACAGCATAATTTCACCTACAAGACTTATTACATGCCCAGCCAAAGCACACCTCTGCTGAGGATACTTCCCACACATTTCTGCTTTTGTAGGTTACCTGCCTACAGATGAACAGCTTAATCTTTTCATTGATTAAAACCAGTAGAAGTGGCACAGTTTTAATTACACAAAGCCTCCTTTTTGTCTTTTGAATCTTTTGTAAAACCAAGACAGGTCACATTACTTGTGAACCCCCAAACAGTCTGTGGCTGAGACTAGCAAGACTCCTTCATGCTTCCTCCAGTTTTTCAGAAGGCCAGCCCCCATTCCTGTAAGCCAGACTGGAAGGAAGCTGCTGTTGTACACACTGCTTCTCTTCCTTCCCAGCTCCCATCAATAACATGTCTGGACCACAGATGCTTTCATTTCATCTGTGAAAGGGATTTTATTGCTCTTACCATTGACTGGGTCATGACAAAGAGGTGCTCCTGCAACTGGTCAAACAGCAGGTCTCCACTCACCATGCTATTTAACTGGATAGTTAAAGAAGCATATATGTGTGCATCTCCCATTGCTCCTAAGTACACCTGCAAGAGAGTCACAGTTGTACGCAGGCAAAGTGTCACAGCAGGAGTTGGGGACACCCGTCCTATATCAGGAACAAGCTGGAACCACTGCTGTGTGTGAGTTCAACCTCCACCAAAATCTCAATGCAGTGACTTCAGCACGGGAAGCATGTGCCTAGCAACATCTGCAGAAGGATGCACCAGCCCTGATGCTGGCTCAGTGCAGATGTAAGCAAAGGTACCACAACCACTGTTTGGGGCATTCACGTTCCCAACAGTGAGTACAGTGTGAGAAAAGACCACCTGATAGTAATGATAGAATGACAGTTCCTTTGGTAGGAACCTGACTTCCCAAGGGACAAAAGAAATTGCCTTTTTTCCCCTTCCACCTGAGCATCCCTGATCAGTTTTATCCTTTCGGCTTCCTGTTGCATTTAGGTCATACCTTGTGCAGCCTCCCTTTGCTGTCTCCCAGGAAAGCAATGGTGTGCCCATCTTCCACATTCACTGCCACTGCTGTCAGACGGGCATCTGTTTTCTCCAGGAGTGGGGCTGCCTCCAAGGGTACCCGACTGGCCATAGGGCTGGGAGTGTGGTCAGAGCCACAGGGGTATGCATACAGGGTATCCTTTTTTGGGGAATGGAAAGAACAGGGACATCAGTACAAAATAATGGATACAAGGAACACGAGTAGCTTTAACACTTCCATCATCCCTTTCCACTCAAATTCCTTCAACAGATGCCCCAGAAGTGAATTCAGCTTTGAACCCTTCTAAGCATTTTAACTGAGACTAAAATACCAGCTTTTAATAGTTAGTTTAGCTATGTTTGGCTGTTTGTACCCTCACAGAATCCTGAAGACATTTCAGCAGGTCCATTCAGCATCAGTAATGGAATGCATTGAAACTCTACTAAACTTTTAATCTCCAAACACCATTAGTGGCTGTACACTGCAATTATGCAGCTTTGGGGAAGATTCACTGTATTTTTGAAGAACAAAAGGAGGTGAATCCCTGCTTCCAGGGTAAAACCACCTGGTCACAAGCATCACCTCCAATAATTAACATGGTTTTGTTGTAACACGTACAAATTCTAAGCTGAAGTAGAATCCCAAAGCATTAGAATGTACATAAACACAGGGTGGAGCATAGCCTGCTCCAAAGAGCACTGCTGCAAAGAGCACCGAGAAATCACAGAGCTCATAGAACCAGAGACCCAGAAGAAGTCAAAACGAGTCATCTCTGCACACTGCTTCAGTTCTGGTCTTGTGAGATCTCTGTGCAAAACCAGTCATCCTTCTGTTCCAGCTGGACCCCTCCCAGTCCCACAATCCTTCACTTACTGAATTCTAGAGAGAAAATGAAAGCTGCCAACCATTTGTATGTGTAGAAAGAAGATACTCCATTACGATTCATCTTTCTCCTAAGCAACAAACTCAGTCTTGTCTAGGATAGCTCCTCTGCTGCTTTGTATCTTTCTTGACACCTTGTTCTGTGTCCACTTTTATGGTACCCTTTCAGACACTGAATGCAGGATTGTTCACCCAGCAATTACTGTTAACCCCACCATCTATTAAATCAATCAGTGGCTTGGTTTCAAGCAATGTGGCATGTATAGATTAATGATTTTCATCATGTAATCCCTTATGGATAACATTTCACTCCCCTCCTCAGCCCCTTACTAATCACTCTTACAAAGCTACGTGTGGAGCAGAGGCATTAACTGTGCAGTCTACAGCGGCTCCATCTCTCTCCTGCTTTGGGCAACATGGTTGAATTCAGACTCCACATGAGCAGGAATTAGATTCCTCAAGAGCAGGGTTATGTAATTTTTCTGTCTGATGTCCATGGCTTTGCATTTGGCAGCACTGAGCCTCACGGTACCATATGGCACCAGGCAATAGAGCTGACCCCAATGGAGGTCAGTGATAACAGCACAACGTGGCATTCCTGGGGTATCTACTCATCACCTCTTGCCAACCTCTTGGAAAACCTCACCCTTTCCCATCCTCTCCTCCCATTTCTCTGTTGGTTTTTTCTTTTTTTTTGTTGGGTTTGCTTGTTTTAACACTTGACTGCTTCCTGGAGAAACTTAAATATGATCAGGAGCTTCTGACAAAGTCTATGGTAATCCCACAGTAAAATACATTTAACCATCTGACTTCTATTGACTTCTCCGACGTATTGATACCTTAGCAGGGAAGCAAGACTTGACACAGTGATTACACACAAGATCACACCAAGACGTTTTTCTACTTAAAACAATTAAAAGAGCTTCTATGTAAATTGATATAAGCATTTTATACAGTTAGCATGGTCCTATGAAGACAGGCTGAGAGCTGGGCTTGGTCAGCCTGGACAAGAGGAGGCTCTAGGGAGAACTTAGAGCAGTTTCCAGTGCCGGAAAGGGCTGACAGAAAAGCTGGAGAGATTCTTTGGACAAGTGCCTACAGGGACAGGACAAGGGGAAGGGCTTTAACCTGCCAGAGGGGATCATCCACTGTCCTACTGTAGCGCACCAAGTTTGGATGAAGCTGTACCTGTGAATTCTGGTGTGTGCTTCCTACACTGCACAGGTAGGAAGCAGCAATAAGACAAATCTATACCCATGCATGAAGGGGACTGAAAGCTTGGTGCAGAAGGACAAGTTACACACCTTGAAAACTACACCCACAGAAAATATGCAGCCTTCCCAAGCCTAAAAGGATCTTCCCAGGACTAAAAGATCTCCAGCAAACTGAACAAATGAACTCATGCTGAAATCCTTACAAAAACAAGCATTTTTTTTTCCAGCTGAGATTGTATTGAACTGTAAAATTCAATCTTAGCTTCTTCTGACGGGCTAAAAGCTGGAGGCAGTGCTAACTAGGGAAAAGGGTGCACAGGCTGGTTTGGAGGCAGAAAAACATGAACTTCATTAGCATTATCCTTACACAGAACACAGGCTGCCACCACTGAAACAGAGTTAAAACTGTTCCTGCATAAACTGTGCATTGAGAGCTGCTTGCACTCAGCACTGAATGGAGCCGGCTGGAGTTGGCACAGACCCTTATGTGTTGTTAGATACAATCTTAATGACAACCGCTACCATGTACTGAATGGTGAAGGATGAAGTTTGTGGGGACATTTACATATCATTGGACACACTTGCTAATAAGATGCTATACTTTGGTCGGCCCACTAGTGCCAAACTGTGCAGCTGGGACCCTGGGATCGTGAGCAAGGAATGGCATAGCAGAGACTGGGCTTTTTCTCCCCCTCTGTGTACCCACTTCTCCGCTGGATCAAACAGTGCAGGGGGACTCCACATCATTTTGAATGCAGGATTTTTCTACCACTCACACCAGGTTGGCTTTTAACTCCCTTGAGGTGCCCTAAAAATCACCTGTGACAATTCCTCCCATGTGCCCCCACAAAGGACACATGGGGCATGGCTAAGAAATACAGTGAAAGCAGGACATCAAGCTGGGCAGCATCTTGCTTTCCAACTCTTATGTACTCCTCCTGACCCTACATTCATCCCCCTCCAAGCCTGCTCTTTACTCTTCCCTTGTCCCGCAAGTATTCTACAGTCAGCTGTAGCTCTCGAAAGGAAAACCATAATTTTAAGACTGGTTTTGGACCACACATCCAACCTCAGAGACTTCCAAAGCTCTGTGGTACCACTTTGCTCTTTGTAGCACAGGGCTGGGAAGAGGCAATTATCTGGACAGCCGGTTCTGTAAGAAGGAAGATACAAGATAACAGGCTGTGATAGTAAGGACTAGCAACGCCCTCGGTGAAAACAGGCTGCTCACAACCACAGAGCCTCATACCAGGACATGGCATTCAGCACCGCCCCGGAGCATGCTGCTGCTCTGTGTTTGTGTCACCATCCCGATACCACAGCACCAGCGAAGCTGATACACTGCAAGGATTCAGGGTCACAGCCACTTTAGCTCACATTTTTATCCTGCAACTTCCCATCATGCCTTTGTGGTACAGTTTAAAGGAGGATTATCACCTCTTACAGCACTGGAGACAAAGAGCAGCCAGATCAGGCGCAGGTTCTCCTTGGGCACAAAATTCTGCAGGACTAATGCAGTCTATAGGAAATCAGGATTTTGTTGACACTTAGTTTTGCTTATGTTCTTTTTCATTCCTGGGTTCCCCTGCAGGAAGCTGTTGTGAGGTGTGCCCCACCATAAGCAACAGGGACCCAGCACACCCCTTAAATTCCCTTCCCAACACACAACTGTACATGCACATATTCCTCCTTCCATGCAGTACAGACCGGGAGATGAAGATAGCGATAAACAACAACCTGAACTGCAGCTTCAGTGCTCTTGCCTGGTATTTACCAAGAGACAGGCCCCAGGGTCAGATCACATCAGATGTTCTCCCCATGGCCACATCTCCACATCTCCCTCTGCAAGTAAACCCACGCATGTGGGGCAGAGAGCTGCAGCAGCAATGACAGACTGTACTTCAACAGGATGCAACAGTTGTTGCATTGCATTGCTGCAGCAGCTAAGAAAGAGCCTGAGCCCAAAGGCTTTTAACCCAAACAGATTTCAACATCCGAGTGAAACAGGCTGACTTCAGGAACACAAAACAACACAAGAACATGCTATAGACTACTCTCTACCCTAGCAAAGGGCCAAAGCCACTTACTGCGGGCAGCTGGACACAGTTGGAGCTGACATCATATTCAATATATGCCACCTCTGTCCCTTCTTCTGACTTCCCATCTCTCATGTAGCAAACATCCCTAGTCCAGTTGGTCAGGCGATCCACTTCCTCCATAGCATAGACACAGAGTGCAGACTCCTCACTCAGCTTACCAGAAGAAGCCTGCCAGGATGAGAAGGCTGCAAACAGCACTTCTCCCTCGGTGTCCAGCTGCCCATGGGCCAAGCCTTTTCCTGGCCGGGTGACATAGGCTGCTTGCAGGAGGCTGTAGGTATTGGTTTTGCTCTGGCAGAGCAGAGGTAACTCCACATACGAGTAATAGTGAGAGTCATCCAGGCAGATTCGGGAGATGTAGGTCTTGTACTCACGGGACTGAGATTTGAGGTCTCGCCGGTAGAATAGGAAATAGACACTGGAGCGGTAAGTGAAGGATTTAATGAAGTGGTGGTTGTACTCTGAGAGCCGGCCCACAGCCAGTTTTGCTGTTTCTTCATAGGAGAAAATGGAGTGAGAGTCTATTGCTTGAACATCCCCACCATGGGCCCTGAGATTCCGGGTAGTGATGGGAGGAATCCCCCCTCCAACTCCTCGGCTTGTGTACCCTCGTCCCACAAACAGCAAGGGGACCTCATCCTTTGAGTAAGCTATGAGTCCTACAGTGGTGATGTTGGGATCATTGGCAGCAACATACTGAGTGTCACCAGGGCTCTCTGGTCGGAAGAGGACATGGTCAATGGACGTGAGGCTCCTCTTCTCACAGATCCCCTGGTGCACACTGCCACACACAATGAGCTCCTTCTGCACTGTGTTCACTAGCAGCAGCTTGTTGTGATTGTCGGTGTGGTGTGCCTGAGGGCACTCCAGCTTTGAGACCGGGGGGAGGCAGTCTTTACTGTCCAGAACTGGTCCAGTCTGAACCATGTTCTTCATCAGCAGGTCAGATGTCAGCTGAAAGAGAAAGTTGGTGGCTCCCAAGTAAATGGCCCCGGACTCCAAGTCCATAGACAGGTGGAGGAATTTCGTAGCGTTGCGCGTGAACGTGACATACGGCAGTCCCCGTGGAATTGCTGCTCCCATGAAACAGAGAACAGGAAGGAAGAACGTTCCCAGAGGCATGGTAAACACTCTGCAAGAGAGGAAAGGCTGTTATTACTCCTCGGAAATGAGAAGTGAAGATTAACACTCCAAATCCTTCAATAGCACTCATGAGAAGCGGACAAAAAGGGCATGCATAACCACAGAAAGCAGAGAGCTAGACACAAAAGAGCCAACACAGGACATCTGCAGGAACACCAACAGAAAGAAGTCTGCAAGAGGATCAGAGACTTTACTCAATCATCTCCACACCACGATGACAGGCACAGCATCTTCAGCAGAAGCTGCAATACTTCAAGTCATGTTCTTGGGGGCTTTCCTGGGGACTGCTGGGTGGCTCTGGGGAAAGCTTCTCTTTGCAAGCCCAGGACTTGTACTAAACTTGCTGAATAAACATTCCAAAGCACAGATTCACCAATCCAGGGACGTAAGCTAAAGAGAAAGGTCCTATCTGTGCTGTGACAGAAGGTGCTTCAAACATTGAAGCATTGTAACATCAAAAAAAGGGCCATATTTAACCTGAGTCCTGCACAACTCTTTGCTATATTGGAAGTTCTCCAGGACAGGACCACATTCCAATAGCAGCCAGCACACTGCATACATTATATGAATGAGCAACACCACAGTAAAACAAACCACTGTCCAAGACAAACACAACCTGCAGGACCATTGTTTAAATAAACTGTACCTAGGTTCCAACACTGAGTGAACTAATGACTCCTTTGCTCTGTATTTGATCTAGATATCATAATTAATCCCTCTCTTTAATATCACTTGTGGCTATCAACAGCATCTTCTGGGTCTAAGGCTCTTCCACTCGTGCTTCAGAAGAAACCTCCCTGTGCCATCTTTGCCACTGAGCATCACCCATCCAAGCAGGATGTGGATGCCAGGATGAGGCCTTTGAGGTGTCAATCACAGCAGCTTCCAGCCACAACCTGAAGACCAGTCTGTTCCCAGCCCTGCCAAGCCAGTCCCTGTGGGCTCCTGTCTCCCTGTTTAGCTACATGGCACGTTCAGATAAAGGGGAGACCACCTTATCCTGCTCACTTGTTACTGCGCTCTCTGGGGGAGAAGTCTCTTGCTGGCACTCATCCCTTCACAGCTCCTCTAGCAGGGCTTTAAAAGCCGATTTAAACATGCGTCTCTGTGGACAATGCTCCATTCCTTCCCTGTCTCTCAAAGTGCAGGCAGGGCAAGATGAGATGTGGTGGGTGTTAGACCAGGGAACCAGTTCTGCTCCTCTCCAGGGGTTGATCTTTAGATCTTTAGATCAACCCCTCTTGAAATCTACAGTGACCCACCCAAGCCATGCCACAGATGGGAACCACTGTCCTGAACAGCATAGGGAAACTCACAGTACAGAGGAAATGAGGTAATAAGTACCTGCAGCATTTAGATGAAAGCTTTTCTCCATGGAGGAAGGACAGCAGCTGCAAGCACTCCTCATTCACTAGGAGTACCACCTTGTTTGAATTGAGAAGTGGGTGGTGATGCAGCTGTGAATCTATTCCCTTCCCTCCCTCTTGCAGGCAAGGTATCAAAGCTACACACAGATGCCAAGCTGGGCCAGAGGCTCAACATAGTTGATGGATACAGTACCACCCCCAGAACTGGCTGTAACCTGCTGTGCTCGTTTTGGCAACCCAAGGTGCTGTTAATTTTGTAGTTAAAGCTAAGAAAGCTATCATCACTTTCCTCCTACAGCATCATTCCTCTTGGATCCTCTTGGTCAGCTCAAAGTGCTATTAACCCAGAAGTGTTTAAGAGCACACAGTATTTCAATAGAAGACTGCCCCAGCATTTACTGCAGGACTTCAGCAATTTAGGTCACAAGCTTTTCACCACACAAACTGCCTTACACTTGTTCTGTAAAACCTCCAGCACACTATGCAGAAACCACAGGAGCAATAGTGAGAACTATAACTGTAAGGCTCTAGATCCATCTTTTATTCCACTACTATTGGAAAAAAAAACCACAAAAGTCCCCTTTTCAGCTCCTTTCTCAGCAAAACTGGCACCTTTGCTCGACCAAAAGCCCGGTTGAGAGGATTAGTCTACTTGTGAAATCCAACGGATGGCAGGCATTATAAATACAACACACTATTAAATATAGGCTTTGTGAAGCTCTGGAAAGGCTCCACTTCACATGGTTATTGTTGGTAAGTAGGTAGTACTGTCAGGATATTCCCGGATGCAGGAATGCTGGCTGTAGGCTGGCAGCTTTCCTCCTTAGCACACAGCCACCGATTCATACGTACCAGCAGTGTTTGGGTTACGTGCACACTAGGGCTTTTGTTCGCCCTGATAATGGACACTTGGTGTTTTCTGCTCTCAGTGCTACTGCACACTCTGCTTCACCCAGGTTTGCAAACAGTGCTGAACTACCCTTGAAGTCTCCCTTCCAGGGTGGTGAGAGTGTGTTGTAGCACCTGACGCAGGTCCTCATCGTGTGGGAGATGTTATCTGTGAAGCCTGATGAGAGGTATTTATAAAGCCGGCAAGTAGATACATGCACACTGAAGGATGGAGCTCTAACTTGACTCTATCACCTCAGGTGTGCATCAGCAGAACAAGCCCTGCTCCTACTCCAACATGTGAGTTATTTTTGTATGTTCTCCCCACTTTTATTGGGGAAAACTCTATGCAAGGAACTCCTTTACCACACAAATCTCTCTGTACCTCTGCGCTGCCATCATGCAGTTGTCACGACAGCCTGTTGCGCAACTCTGTCTGGAGTCTCCTCAGTTTCAAAGCTTAAAATGCCTGCAAACAAAACAATAGGCTGATGACCATCCTACAGCAGGAGCTTGACTGCGTGACAGGGCCACATTGACAAGAAGAAAGTCTTTGATCTGGAAGCAGCTGAGGATCACAAGACATCATTATAAGACACCACTTTAAAGGAATCTCTAATCTTTCTAACTAATGCGACCTTCCTATGCCAGCACTTACACAGTAAAATTGGCATGTGAATTCGGAATATATGGATTCTGAAATACTGGCTTTCTGGCTAGAGGTCATGCCTACGAGCTGCAGGACTCTGCTCTGTCCACCACATACCGTCATCACAACATTTATACATGCCACCAGTATTTGGATTCAAAACCCAGCATATGACACCACTGTAACAACACTGATCGTACAAGCTCCTTGATCTGTAGTTGAATCTCTGCCTAATGTTTCACTGAAAGCATTTTAGCTGCTGTTGGAACACTTGTACTGGAAAGAGACTGGAAGAGCAACCAGCCCTTCATTCCAGCAGAGCATAACAAAAAGCAAATCTTGCTGTGGTCAAACCTCTGACCTGAAGATCTTATTCTTCAAGTCACCAATATCCCCCTAGAAGCCACTTTATTAAGAGCTAGTCCCCAAAGGTGTTTCAGGTAAGAAACTACCATCTCGTCCTCATGACTCTGTGAGAGCTGAGGACAGCTGAGAAGACAGAAAAAAGGGTAGCACAGGATGTTCTGCAAGCAAGTTCTAAGTGCTCTGTTCAATGGGTAAACATTGAATATAGGCTATTTGTTGCTCTTTGCTGAAAAGCCATTAGCAAATGAACTTGTATTTATTGCTAGGTGAGCAAACATACATTAGAAATGAGCACAAGTGTGTGGCTATCAGTAGGGAGAAGCATTCATGTCCTACATGGAAACTGAGAGGAAAAAAAGCCAGCAGTGGTTTTGGATTCAGTTTCCCAAGCTGTTTCTCAAGCATGGGCATCACCACCATTATTATTCTTGCTATTCAGATAAGCCCATCACAACCTCTCTGGGAGGACAGGAAGGAGGAGGATAACCTACATTTAAATCTGATGGTTTCATGACAGGCTACACTACTGAGCTCTTTATGGATTTACTGAACCATTCTGCTTCCTGTGTTCATTGCTAGTACACAACACAGCTGCTACAGACAGATTGCACTAAAAACGTGTAGCCTTTAATTAACATTGAAGGCAATTGCCAAGGCTGGAAAATTCTCTTAAAATAGTCCATTTTTTTTCCTGATAAATTCCTGTTAAAGAGGAAAATGCTCCAGACAATGCCCTGAACACTGCCTCTAACGAACTGCAAAATATTAATATACAAATGATAGTACTGAGTTTCATTTATTTAATCTGGATCACACCAGAAGGGCTAGGGGATTAGTCAGCTCTGCCATAGAATATTTGTATCACATCCACAAAACAACAACCAAGAACATGGAAGCAATGGCACTATTTTGTTACTTGGAATTTGAAATAAGACCATGTTTTCCATAGCACTATTTTTACCTCCCTGACCTCACGTATCCCTCTCAGAGACTTTACTCATTTATTAAAGAAACAAACCCAGAACTCGTTTGGACACATTCTACCCTTAAGCGTTATCAACACATAAGATTATTTCAATCCTCACAGATTATTTCCCTAATACCACATCCAACCCCCTCAACACGGATAGGTCAGACAGTGTTCCGACTTCTAAGCTAGATCTCATACTCAACACCAAATCCAGCATAATTATCCTTGGAAAAAAGCAGGTCCCTGAAATGTGCACCTGCAATTCCCACTGTACCATTTGCAGAGCCAACCCACGGCAAGAGCAGCAGAAGATTTATACATTAAAAGCATAATTCTTCCAGCTGCACCATGACCCCTGTGCTCCAGCACATTCAAATCACCCAGCAGTAGGAAGACGACCACCGCTGTGTTTTCTGCACCAAAGCTCTGAATTACAGCCCCCTTCTAAGTCTCATACGCTCGGAGATTTGCTGTTTGACGTTCCCATTAAATAAATACATCTTCTTAGGAGTCTTATTCACCACTACCAGGCCAGTTCCCTGCCCTGCTGTTTAAGAACACTTGCAGCAAGGCAGAGATGAACACAAACCTCTCTTTTCCACCTAAAATTGATCCCAAGGAGAATCCCAAGTCCAAGCCATCCTGTTGGAGCAGGACTGGCACAGACAAGGGAGCTCTGTTATACCAGATGGGATTAACATCAAAGATGAGGTCAAAATAAGTTTAAAACGCCCCTCTAAAGACCAAAC